CTCATTATTTGACAAAACAATTTTTATTCAATCACTTCCGGTCTCACCAGAAACGACCCTAACTTTTGATTTTTCAATAGGACACCCTGTATTTTATTCTATAATCGGTTAGGGATAATTATGACGAATTCAAAGATACCGGGTTTGATAGGGTTAATTCAAACGACTACGAAGATACTCGCGTTCTAAGTTTCCATTTCTTCAATAAGTGGGACTGAGAAAGAAGTTTCGATATTGCGAAGTCACACCCATTGAGCAAATGGAAACTTAGAACGCGAATATCTTCTAATCGTTTGAAATAACCCTATCAAATCCGGTATGGTTGAATTCGTTATGATAATCCCTAACCGATAGTGGAATAAAATACAGGGTGTCCTATTTGTCCCTAAAATTAGGGTCGTTTCCGGTGACACCGGAAGTGATAGAACAAAAATTGGTTTGTCAATTTATGAGGAATTTGGTATACTTGCTACTCACCAATTTTCAAAATCCGATCACAAATGATTCAGTAGTTACAGCACTGGCCGTTATTGTGCACTTCTCTGTATACTTGTAAGGCCCTCCGCACACGGGTCGATCGGCGACATGGACGACGCGATTGCAATGACGTCACAATTTCTGCATTCGTACGATTCAAGAGACGGGAGTGTGTGTCATCCGCATATGGGTCGACGTTTTGTGTAGTCGGCTCGCGTCTGATCAACTTAGTTACTATATTTTTTGCAACTTCAAAAAGAAATGTTTCGCTAAAAATGAGCAGCTCCAATGGCGAGGAGGACATATTCATGTTTTTGTGGCACCGGCAGATCAGGAGACGAAGAAGACAACGAAGTTTATGGGTGCATCCGTACATTGCACGAAATTTTCACACTCGACTTTTTGTTACTGCAAGTGAAATGCAAGAGAGTAACACAAAATTTCTGGCATTTTATAGAATGTCGAAGGAATCATATATTGATTTAGTGGAAACTCTTGCTCCAGCCATAAATTATATGGATTCAAATAGGAGGGAATGTGTCAGCGCAGAAGAACACATACTAATAACATTGATGTAAGATTCATATATTTCAAAAAATCAAACAGTTCCTAAAGTTGAGAGTATAAATTGGAAACATAAGATTATATGTTCTAGTTACTGAAAGTAAAGAACTAAGGTAGGTAACACAAATATTCACAATGATTGAAAAATTATTGAACAACTTTCTCCATTGAGACGCAAGATTCACTCGATCAAACTGCTTCCTTGCTAATCGCGTGAGACTGAAAACGAGGAGATCTCAAATCGTACGTTTCTAGACGACCACTAAACGACCCGTGTGCGGGATCCAGATGCTTTGCTTAGGAAGTCGAGTAGAGGGGAGACCGTCGTACGATTCGAATCGCGTCGCCCATGTCGCCGATCGAACCGTGTGCGGAGGGCCTAACATGTTATTGTCGTTCTTCTCAATTATCATGAGAGATTGAAAAAATCGAAAAGCTCTATCTGAAACAACATCATAATTTAATTTTTCGTCGACCTCTACAAAAAATCACATTTTACGTGCAAATTTCCGAACGAAATACCGGCTATATTGATTGTCTTTATTACCCCAAGAAACATTTCTGTTTATGATAGGGATACATAAATACATATAAAAAAAATAATAATAAAGGGTTAACTATAATGAATTCCACTCAGTGGAAACGAATTAATATTGTGTCTTATAAGATTAAAGTTATATTTCATTCCTAAGTAATCGAATCATGCCACATATTTTTCTTTCAAATTGTCCTGAGCAAGTATTTTTTAAGATTGATTTTAAACCTTCTTGCATCATGTATATTTTTCAACCCATTCGGTAATGAATTGTATAAAATTATTCCATTGTGAAAAACAGATTGTTTGCCAATGTTTGACTTGAATGTATTTGCTATCAAGTAATTCAATTGTCTAGTCCCATAATTATGGACTGTATTGACTTCATTAAAAGCTGAATTTGATATTTTCAATTTATTCCTGGCAAAATGAATAAAGCAACATATTTTAAGTTTATATAACGAAATCAGGTTCAGAAAATGTCTATAGGATTGTATAAATTCACCGATGGTTCTAGAAAATATAGATGAAAAATGCACTTAATTGATTTGTTTAGTAATTTCATTAGTGGTTTCAGACGTGATATATTTGTACTTCCCTTAATGGAAATTAAATCTTGCAAATTTGAATGAATGAGGCAAAAGTAAATACATTTCAAGTATTTTATGGGAATATTTCGGATTTTGAATAAGATTCCTATGATCGGATTCATTTTATTTCTCAAATGGTCTATATGTTTACTCCATAATAATTTTTCGTCGATATAGACCTAAAAATTTTGTCACGTCTGTATATTTCCATATTATATCCGCAAATAATTTTAGCTTTCCTTTCAATTTCAGAGTTGATATTGAATTGATATAAATTGAAAATAAAATTGGTCCCAGAACTGATCCTTGCGGTACTCCACATGTAATATTCTTTAGTGAGCCAGAAGTATCATTCACTTCAACATACTGCTTTCTATTTGTCAAATAATGTGTGAACCAATCATGAATTCTTCCTCTGACGCCGATTGAATATAATTTATTTATTTATTTATTTCGAAATGCCGCCCGAATTTTTAAATTCTGACGGAAGAATCATAATCTCCGACCCCGAAAACCCCCCAGATACCAATTTTGAATAGAATCGGACCATAATTATTACAAAACTCGTCATCTTGAATTTCCTAATGGTACTGGGATAAACAGTATCCTATAACATTGCCTATAACCTTCTTCTGGTTCTAAGCTACCTCCCCACCAACTTTCAGCCAAATCGATCCAGTACTTTCGGAGTTTATTCAATACATACGATCAATTAACACAAGTTGTTTACAGAAACCTGCATGCTCACATGAAACTACACTACGATCCTCTTCACCCCACTATATCCGTTTCACCCCCGTTGGCTGTATTAGTCATTTAAATTCAATCACCCTGTGTAGGATTTCGTCGATGTGGACAAACGTTTTTTTTTTCAATGGTAATTCCTGGAGAATATCATGAAATATTTCTAGTATCTACTTAGGAATATTCATTTAGTTTTCTGTACTAACTACTAAATATTATTGTGGTATTTCTGGTTCAGGTATTTTTGTATTATTTGGCTACCTATTCAACCACTATCCAAAACTTAATATTCTATGTTCTGAGTCATATAGAAATACCGAAATTCAAAGAACTTGAAAAACTATTTCACAGCGATCGGAACTTTGTAGAAAAATATTGGTTTCTATGATGTACAGGGTCTTCACGTATATTTTGAACCCCCTCTCAACTATTTTATTTATCATCGGCGTCTTTTTTCCAAAGAACAGTCTTTTATAATTTTTCCTGTAGATTTTGAATATGTAAACAGAAAAACATACCGGGTGACACAGGAGACATGTAGCAGCCTGTCGTTTTTTTATTTGAAGAAATAAAATTTTGAATTTCACAGGAGGTATATAATAAATGGTAGCGCACTTTACGAAGTTAACGACCATTTTTTTTCAACCACCTGTTTGACCGGAAGTGACCCCAACTTTTTTTTACCTGTCACCCAGTACATTTCTTCAGTCTATCTTTCTCGCCTTGAAATTCTCTATCACAAAGTGGCATTTATTTCTTAATTTGCTATTGAATTGCTTTCTATTCGAAAAGAATAAGTTGGATGTGACATGAATTTGATGATATATCGACACTTGGTAGGCTTTGAAATTTAAATATCATTAGTAAACCGATATTATTCAATATGTTTTGATATTCTGATCAATGTCTGCAGGTTATCAATAGCTTGTTTGAGTCAAGATGAAAACCGTCGTAAATAACTCATGATATTGAGGAATCTAAGATAGGAACATATTTTTTCGAATTCAGCTACTCGTACAGAAACTATCTGTCTTTTATTTTCGCCATGTATGTACCTATCACATGATCTTCCCATTTGGAATAATAAAACTAAAATTGTTCCTCTTACAGGGCTATCAGTCTATTTTTTCATAAATATTTCACTTAGTAGGCGGTGTACCTACACAAAATGTTTTATGTGTTTGACAGTTAATCGATTGCATCAATAATTTTTCTTCTTCATTTGTGTGTTGATGGAAATTGCATATTAACAACATATCGACTTTTTCGTTTCTTGAATACATTTTCCGTCTCTATTGATAATATGCAATTTTAATCAACACACAAATGAAGAAGAAAAATTATTGATGCAATCGATTAACTGTCAAACACATAAAACATTTTGTGTAGGTACACCGCCTACTAAGTGAAATAATTATGAAAAAATAGACTGATAGCCCTGTGGATCATCGTATAAGAGGAACAATTTTAGTTTTATTATTCCAAATGGGAAGATCATGTGATAGGTACGAGTATCTGAATTCGAAAAAATATGTTCCTATCTTAGATTCCTCAATATCATGAGTTATTCTCGAAGGTTTTCATCTTGACTCAAACAAGCTATTGACAACCTGCAGACATTGATCAGAATATCAAAACATTTTGAATAATATCGGTTTACTAATGATATTTGAATTTCAAAGCCTACCAAGTGTCGATATATCATCGAATTCATGTCACAGCCAACTTATTCTTTTTGAATAAAAAGCAATTCAACAGCGAATTAAGAAATAAATGCCACTTTGTGATACATGGTTGGATAGAGAATTTCAAGGCGAAAAAGATAGACTGAAGAAATGTACAAGGTGACATTTAAAAAAAAAGTTGGGGTCACTTCCGGTCAAACAGGTGGTTGAAAAAAATTGTCGTTAAGTTCGTAAAGTGCGCTACCATTTATTATATACCCCTGTGAAATTCAAAATTGTATCTCTTCAAATAAAAAACCTACAGGCTGCTACATGTCTCCTGTGTCACCCGGTATATCTCTGTAATCATTTCAGCTAGACCCCAACTGTGATAAATCGATGAAATCAGCTCTTCGGGAAGAACCTAAAAATGTAATAAAATACAGGGTGTTCCATTTAAAAATTTATACATCTTGCCCCTAACTTTTTTTTGAGATGTTCAATTGTTTTTCTGTTCACATATTTAAAATCTACAGGAAAATTATAAAAGACTGTTCTTTGAAATGAAAAATTCGATGATGAATAAAACAGTTAAGGAGGGGTTCAAAATAAACGTGAAGACCCTGTACAATAATATATCACAACTACTATGAAAGCTATCACACCATGGGGCAAACTAATTGTGTTATTTTTTCTTGAAGAAACCTTGCAGATTTGGTAAGTTATTTGGCTTCGGGAGTGGCGTGTGGAATATTTTGCTAACTTTTTGTCGCATCTCTTCCACGCTCTGATTAACATTATGACTGGTTTTATTGGTTGGAGAGATTATCGGAGATTCTGGAATAGCGAAATCGATTTTGTTTTCGCACTCCTTCATCAAAGAAGTTATCGTTTCCCAATGACAATGGAGGTTCTCGTTTTCCATGATAACGGCTTCCAAATTTCTGGAATAAACACAAAACTCCTTCAATCATCGAGCGTAGTTTCGTTCTTTCAGTCAATTGCTACTAAACAAAAATATTGTCCTTCATAGAAAAAAACGATATTTAGGATCAAATGCAGGAAGGAAAGCTCTAAGTCATCTCCACACAGCTTAATAATAGTAAAAACTTTATCTTCCTTTTGATAGTTACAAAAACCATATAGCAATAGTCAAGAGAACAAAACAGTAAAATATTATTGCATCCTAAAGTTGAATAATTTCTAACGAAGCAGTAACATGATGATGTCAAGAATTCATTGATTTGGCTTTTGAAACAGTTAATCTTCACGATATTCTTCAAATTATTGGGTAGTCTATTGAAAAAATTTAGTGCTGGAAAATTTGGTGCATTCTCTCTGATTTTGAGTTTTGCAAAGGGTACATAATACGGTTATTTTCCTAACAAGTGCGCAAAGTGTTACTTTTCCACACGCAAATATAGTTAGGCAAACGACGCGGAGCGTACGGAAAAAACACTTTGCGCACGTGTTAGGAACAACGTTTTTCCTACGAGCTTCATATCAGATAAAAAGGAGAACAAAAAAAAATTTATGATAAAGTGACGGTGTTTCTAGATTTCTGCACTTGCACTTGATGTAGCTCAACAATATTATATATAATGATATATCATTATACAAGATATTCTCCTTTGGAACCGTGAAATTATTTTTTTGTTTTGAGGTGAAATACGAATATCGGGAAGAACGGTTGAAAAGTATAGTAGTATAGTGCATACAATAGTCTACAGCAACTAAAATGAATATAAATATTCCATACAGTGCGTATAACACCCATATCGACAATGAGTGCGGAAAAGTATTACTTTGCGCACGCATATGAGTTCGGAAAAGTTCTACTTTGCGCACGCTTGTAGGAAAATAATTTTTCTGTCTAGTATGATGATTATGAAGGTCACTATTTAAATTGAGCTTCTCCTTATACAGGGTTTCCCGAAATCAGCCTGTCAAACTTCACCAGCGGCTTCTACGATAAAAAATAGGAGAAGTTTCAATGAACATTAGTCGAAAAATTACTTCTAATGGGGCTACAGCTACCAACATCTTTTATGTATTGTAGAACTTCTGATTAGGCTGATGATGGTCTTTTCTGAGACTGAAACATGTCCCTGATTGTTCAACAATACGTCATTAAACTGTGTGAAGATGACTTAGAGCTTTCCTTCCTTTCTGTGACAATTCCATTCCACTTAGACTTCTTCCGAAGATCAATATTTAGGATGTTTGCCTTCAAAAACATGAAGGTAGAGGTTGAATGATGACTTACCTCAACCCAGGAAGAAGCAACTTGCTGGTAATTTGGTCATTCAGTGGAGTATAGATAATGTTTGTGAAAGCATTCAACATAGCCAACACCAAGTCCGTTTTTCTCGGGTTTTTTATTTGCGGCAACAACATAGAAAATGATGCTAGCTGGGGAAGCACAACTGAAAATATTCGATAATGTATCAATCAATCAATCAATCAAAACTGAGCTTTATTGTCCAAGAAACATTATTCCTATTGACAAAGCATTAACTAGCAAGTGGGTAGATCCACTACTATGTTCAATCATTAATTCAAAGATATAAAAGATATAAATATGAACTTAAAATTTGTTGTTTTATTCAATTTGTCCTATATAAATTGAAAATTTCGAATTTAAATTTCAATGAAATCAATTCATTACATAATCATGGAACAAAACAATCAAATTTACTAATAGCAAATACGTTCAAGTCAAATATCGGCAAACAATCAATTTTTCACACAGGAATCGTTCTATACAACTCATTACCAAGTCATTTGAGGAATATACAGGAAGCAACTAGATTCAAAATTAACTTAAAAAAATATCTGCTTCAGAGACTTTGATAATTCCATTTCTTATTTGAATACCTACTTATAAAAGACTAGGTTGATATTGCATGATTATTTGCATTTTTTTTTTAACTTGTTATATCTTATTATAATTTCATAATTGTATGTATAACATTATGTATAATGTTTATGTATCCCTATTATAAACAACTATGTTTCTTGGGGTAATAAAGACAATCAAATAGGCGACTTCCTGATGTATAAATAACACGAATACAAGGGTATAAAGCAGCTACAAAAAAGGCATGAAAGCATAACATTTATATCACATACAACGCCAACTAGATACCTTACATAATAGTTAAAATATCAAGAAATAATTTATATACATTATACATGACTTTAAAATTTGTCGTTGTAATATTCCTGCAGGTCATAGTAAGCTTTTTGAATTAGTAATTTTTCAGCCTCCTTTCTGAATTTTTTTATTCAACCAATTTCTTTGAAATGTTCTGGCAAGTGATTGTTGATTTTTTTTCTTTTATATACCGGGTGTCAACGAATCTATTAGACAAGTCATAACTTCTAGACCATTGGGTGTATCAAAATGAGATTTGGTATAGGTAAATGGTATGTGGAGAGGAGAATTTTCACATATTTCTCACGTTACGGTCACTTCCGGTATCACCGGAAATGGCCCCGGTTCTGAATTTTCGAATGGAACACCCTGTATATTGTAACATTTTTGGATTTCTAAGATAATTCTAGATCAGAATGTAACATTTCCGAAAGTTTTTATGCCTACTTAATTTTTTCGGAGTCACTTTTGAAATTACATCTAGGTGGCAATGATCGGAAGTAAACTAATCTAAGGATCTCAGGTGATATCAGAAAATTACAATCGCGAAGTTTTAGTGACAAGTATGATAGATATGAATGAGACAAGTTGCCAAAATTACATTTTCAAATGGCGACCATTTTCCGAAAAAAGGATATTTTGATGAATCAAACGATACTAATTTATTTGCAATATAAATAAATCACCCTGTATAATAACTTGGAAAGACAAAAGTAGCACTTACCATCATTTCTGAAAGACACAGAACAGCTATTCACAATTTTGCCTAGAGTTACTATTAGTTGTCTGAGCAGGCCATGGTTTTCCTTCAAATTATCGTCAGAAAGGAAATTTTGTAATTGCATATAAACTTTATCATGGATATCTATGATCGAACAGTCTGTAATCAAACTTCCCAGAGCTGGAATAGCCGCAGTTCGAACTAACCTACAAAAAAAGCATTTTTTTATATTTTAATTGGCATCAATGACTATTTCTCAAGACTCATTATGAAATACACTTTTTTAAAAGATATTAAAATCTGCCTACATTCATAATTTTGTAATTCAGAAAATGTTTCTTTTTTGGAAGTAGAAGAGCAAAAGGATGAGGAGTAAGAGGTATTCAATGATCTTGATGCTCCAGCTTTGGTGAGACCTCTGATGCTTTGATAAGATTCATCGATTTTGGGTGAGTTGATTTTTATTTTCATTTCACAAGGCCACCCCGTATCCTCTGACTTGCTTCGAAATTATGATTGCTTGAAATACAGCAAATGGAATAACACTGGCCTTCAGAAAACTTTTGAATTTGAGTCCAATGTATTCCAGAGCCTCGCTGTTCGTTGGATGAACGAGTGTTCGGAAAGAAATGTTCTGCAGGTCTTCAAAGTGACCACGAAGGGGTGCGAAGCCACAACTCGACGGGTTAACCTCGCGGGAACTGCCAAGGGAGGAACAATTGTTGATATTTCAGAAGAGCATCGTCCATGAAAATATCTATAAAATAGAGCCAGTTCGCAAACTTTTCTACGGTGTTCCAGAGAAGTGAGTCAGTTTGTGAGTGAGGCATCACCCACGAGACGAATTGCCCTTTTTTGTACAGACTCCAACAGTTTCAGGGTATGTTAGGGTGCTGCACTCCAAATATGGGAACAGTATTCCAGGATAGGTCGGATCTCTGCCTTATAGATCATAAGCAGCTGACTGAAAGTGAAATAGCTCCTGGCCCGAAACAGAAAACCAAGTTTTTGGGATTCACTTTTAGCAATTGATCTCACGTGATTTTCCCAAGAGAGGTTATTGCTGATAGTAATATCAAGCATCGAAATGGATGTCTTCAAAGGTATGGTAACTCCTGAAAAGCTTATGTTGGGCACAGTGAGATCGGCTTTCCTAGAGAAACGGCATGCTTGTGTTTTGTTTGCATTGAAATCTACCAAGTTATTGGATTCCCATTCGAGAATTGTTGCAAAGCCCATATTTATGTTGTCAACATTTCTCCCTTGTTCGTTTTTGATTTGCTTGGCTGTTATTGGAGCACTGGAAGAGAAGGCGGTATGGAGGGTACTATCATCTGCGAAGCTGTGTATTGGAAACAAAGTTGCTTCTAACAGCGTTGATATGGAGTAGAAATAGTGTTGGTGCTAGAATTGATCCTTGCGGAACACCAGCATTTATGATAAGAGAGTCAGATGAAACTCCGTCGACCACTACATGGAGAGACCTGTTTGATAGAAAACTAGCTAGCAGAGAACATAGCTGAGGAGGCAAGCCATAAGATGGAAGCTTGGCGAGGACTCCGTGGTGCCAGACTCGGTCGAATGCTTAGGAGATATAGCAGCGTAAGCGAGCAGGTCACCAGTTGATCTCTGATGACGGAAGCCATATTGCCTATGGTTGATAATACCTGAATGTTCCAGGTATTTCATGAGCTCGATGTTGATAGCTTTCTCCATGATCTTTGAAATAATAAAAGATAGCAGTGCGATCGGTCTGTAGTTGCTAGGTAAAGTTTTTTTGCCTTTTTTAGGAACTGGTTGTACTCTTGCAATTTTCTAGTTGGACGGGAATATCCCCAATTTGTAAGAGTAGTTGAACAACTTGCAGAGAACAGGTGTTAGTTCGGGAGCACATTTCTTGAGGACAATCGGTGGGATTCCGTCGTAGCCATAAGCTTTGTTGGAGTTGAGACCCAATAAAATCTTCCTTATAGTACGTTGGCGAGAGGTGATCTCGGGCATATGACTGTCAATTGGCGTTATGTTTGGAGGTTGTTTTTCCGATGAATCCAGAGTGGAATTTCCAGCGAATAAATGCGCAAAAATGTTGGCTTTCTCCTTGGCAGTTGTGGCTAGTGTTCCATCTTCCTTGGTTAGAGGAGGAAACGAGCTGGAAGTGAAGTTTCTTCCAACAGCTTTGGCGAAGGACCAAAATGAACGGGATCCGTTAGGACATTCAACAAGTTTCGATCTTATTTTGGCATTATCTGTATGTTTTATACATTTATTTATATTTATATATCTGTATATTTGTTATCTTCGACTGACTTGTTATAAACCATATTCTGTATGTGTCACATAGCTATCTATCTATAGTATTCCAAATAAATCTGTGGAGCTAATAGTATATTATGTAACAAGTGTTATAAACGTCCTTTTAGTAACGAGTGTTTAATAAACGAGTGTCTAGAAGAGTTTATAAACGCGTTACATACTATGCTTTTTCTACGAACTCCGAAAATTACATCAACATACCTGCTATTCCTGCTAACCTACAAAATAATTCGAAAGGAATGGGAATTGAGAACATAATATATGCATACAACTGCATGCAACCAGCGAGACACGAATAAGTGATATTGGTTGTAGATGTGTCCAGTCCATTGCTTACTAAACTTTGTTTCACGTTTATTGTCATGCTTAGCGCAGAATGAATGAATTGTTGTCAAAGATGGATACTTTATTTTTACACTTCTTGGAGATATGCAAGTACCAGAACATTCTCTTCGATTCACTTTCGTCTACATTTCGCATATATTTTTAATGAATAATTCTGATACAAACGAATATTGTTTGAATCATTCTGATACGAAATTTCAAAATAACAGTTGACAGTTAATACAATTGACAGGCCAGACATGCCTCAAATTACTGAAGCTGTGTTTAATGGACTGTGTTGCCATGGTGAATGTGTTTAATATTTTGAATAAATCACGGATCGACAATCCGTGATTAATCGATCATTTAGCGTGGTACATATCCGTACGCTAAATGCTAAATTTAAGTTATGTGAGTAGAAAAAAATACTTACATGTCATTATCGGCAGCCAAGGTGACCAGAGCCGCAGTGACTTTGGTCCGCAAGAGATCGCGATCGCAGATGCCTACGATTTCGCCAAATAGAGTGGCAGAAGCGGCTCTCACCAGAGGGCGCTGATGCACCACGCCCGACCACAGGCATTGCACGACCATCTCTTGCATGCCGGATTCGCACAATCTGCGCAACGTCACCTTAAAAAACGAAAACAGCTCGATATTTCCACATATTTCTTCATAATGAAGTGAGATCTCGGTCATTTCTGTACGTATTTAATGAAATGAACAACAATGATGGTAGTGGAAGTGGAATATTAAATACCTTTAGAGTTTTACAAAACAGGGCCATTGAAAACAGGGCCATTGATAGTATAATTAAACATCATTTTAGTAACGAGTATTTTAAGCACGAGCGGAGCGAGTGTTTAATAAACGAGTGTCTAGAAGAGTTCATAAACTCGTTACATACTATGATTTTTCTACCAACTCTGAAAATTACATTAACATACCGGCAATTCCTGCTAACCTACGAAATAATTCGAAAAGAATAATGGGAATTGAGAACATAATATATGCAACTGATGCATGCAACCAGCGAGACACGTATAAGTGATATTGGTTGTAGATGTGTCTAGTCCATTGCTTCATAACCTTTGTTTCACATTTATTGTCATGCTTAGCGTAGAATAAATGAATTGTTCTTAAAGATGGATGCTTCATTTTGACAGTTCTTGGACATATGCAAGTACTAGAACATTCTCTTCGATTTCACTTTCGTCTACTTTTCGCAAATATTTTTTATGAAGAATTCTGATACAAACCAATATTGTTTGAATAATTCTGATACAAAATATGAAAATTACAGTTGTCAGTTAATACAATTGACAGGCCAGACATGTCTCAAATTACTGAAGCTGTGTTTAATGAACTGCGTTGCCATGGTAATGTGTTTAAGAAATCGTGTTGCCATGGTAACGTGTTAAATATTTTGAATAAATCACAGATCGACAATCTGTGATTAATCGATCATTTAGCGTGGTACATATCCGTACGCTAAATGCCATTTTAGTTATGTGAGTAGAAAAAATTGTTTATACAGTGCGTCGGAGCTCGATTGCTCGACATCTATGATAGCTAGAAACCTGATTCAAAAACGAATGTGAATGAGACTACAAGGTCCATAACTAGAAATTATTGCCGCATATACAGGGCGCACCAAAAATAATCTAGAGGGTCGGGATCATTTTTTTTTTAAATGGAATGCCCTGTATATTTTCATATTTTTTGAAGCATCCCTGTGACCTTCATCCACTCCTATGATATCGTCGATTGTTCGTTTGTTTGTATTGAATAGGCTCCGAAACTACTGGATCGATTTGGCTGAAAATTGGTGGCAAGGTAGCTTAGAACCAGGAGAAGGTTATAGGATACTTTTTATCCCGGTACCATTAGGAAATTCAAGATGGCGGATATAATATATCGGACAAGTCAGAATTTGAAAATTTGGGCGGAATTTGGAAATTCAAGATGACGGAACCAATATGACGGATTCTGTAATTAGGATCCGATTTTATTCAAATTTGGTATCTGGTGGTTCTGGGGGTCGGAGATTAAAATTCTTTCGTTAAAAATAGAAAATTCAAGATGGCGGACGACTATTGCAATTATTATCCGACTCTCTTCAAACTTGTTATCTGGGTGCTTTCGGAGTTGGGGATTATGACTCTTTTGTCAAAATTTGGAAAGGGCGGGATTTGGAAATTCAAGACGGCGGAACCAATATACCGACGAGTTTTGTAATTATATACCGATTCTATTGAAAATTTCTGAGTGGGCATTTTCGGTATAAAAAATTATGATTCCTTCGTCAAAATGAGGGCATTCAAGATGCGGACGAATTTTGTGATTATGTTCGATTCTATTCAAAATTTTTATCTGGGGTTTTAGGATTCGGATATTAAGATTCTTTCATCAAAATTGGAAATTCAAGTGAACTAAAAAGAAGTTGAAATAAATGGTATTTTGAGAAACTAAAGAAACACGCATTCATAGATAACAAAACTAAAAATAAGTAGAAAATAAAATACTAATAATGTCTTGATGAATATTGAACTGAAACAAAAATTATAGAAATAATGTACAAAGCAAAACAACGTTTGCGAGGTCTGCTATTTCACACATAAAAACAATTATTTATTGACAATGAATTATTTCTTTGTATTCCAGCCAGGGCATAGTTTGATAGGTCGTTCGAATTCCAGATTAAAAAATCATCAGGAATTGATGAAAACCCGTTTTTCCAAACTTCGATAACCTGAATCTTGAGAATACCGATTCTCAAAAAGAAACTAAATGCTCTATCTTAGTGGGCTACTTATATACTGAGTATATGTCCACCCAACCGAGAATAGACAATAACCGCCAAGTTAATGTTATTCATGGTTGAGTTCACCTATTATACTACTAAACTATACAGAGGGCTAAATGGGATAGGTTCATTATCCTTATTCATTACTCTATTACTATTCTTAAGTATCTCTAAGCTTTTCTAACATTAATTTGAGGTTATTAATATGTGTGTTATGATTGTGATTGAACATGTGTTCGGCTACACACGATTTATCTAACCTACCATATTTCAAATGTGCTAAGTGTTCTTTGAACCTTGTTTTTATGGGACGCCTTGTTTGGCCTATATATGTTTTATCAAAATCATAACAACTAATTTCGTATATTCCTGACTTCTTTTGGATTACCTAATAAATTGCCTAACTTTGACCCATACTGATAAAAGCTTTCAAAACCAAAGTCTTTGAAAACCTTATCAAGTCCTCTTGTGTACTTGGGATTGAAAGGGATTGGGATTTTTCTCGGATTGTTTTTATCCGCTTGAAGAATTCCTGGCTGATAACTTAAATTTATGTCTACGTATCAATTTATCTACTATTTTGATATCATAACCATTGACGCCAACCACTTTATAAACAGTGTGTAGTGTATTATCGTGCCAAAGGTCCCAGTCTTCGATATATCAATACTACAATAATAGAGATTCACCTCGAGGCAATCCAAAGGCGTGCCGCATAAGGGCAAAGCGCACACGAAGGTCCTCAGCAAATTAGCCATCTCCTCGTGGCCCTTGGTATAGGTCAAAATGGTCAGGTACACCGGCAAGATATTCAGGTTAGGACTGAACTGGTTGAAGCTGGTCATGGCTTGTTCGAGATTGCGCATTTTGCTTTGCACCAAAGGGCGCATCTTGGATACGGCGAAATTCTCGCCGAAAATAATGCAAAAGTGAGAGAAGAGGTTGATGAAGCTTTGGAGCACCTGTTGCTGACTAGATTCGATGTACTGGAGGTTGTTCAGTAAATCGGGTAACCTGAAATTTTATCATATATAATACCACAAGTGATAATATTTTGCCGGAAATATTCGGTGATTGTGACGGCAGCTTGTTACCTAGTAATTTCGTGAATGACATTGTTATCAAAACTACGAGCTGTAGGCGAGTAGTTTTGGATCAATGTCATGAGCGAAATTAGAGCAGCAAGCTGGAGTATGTCAATCGACGAATAGGAAACATAATTTAAGTATATTCCAACTCGAACTGCTAAGAAGAACATAATATGATAGTAATGAAATACAGAATTTAATTTTTTAGAAATAAACTACCTACTTATAGTTATTCACAAAGTGGAATGTACAATTTTGATAAACAGTATTTTTTTATTATCTTGGAGATGGTTGCTCTCAAAAGAGTGTATACAATTGCTATCCAATTAAAAAAAAAAAAATTGAATTTATGTGACATGAAATAATTAAAAAAAAGATATCGTTGCCGAGGGGCTCGAACTACCGACCTTCGTATCCTCGCGCAACAACCCTATCAGTTGCGCCACATCATCTGGTGATTGTATAAGACACAATAACTTGGATAATTGAAGAAGAATACTTTAAAATGGAATTTGAATTCTAGTATTGTCAGACCGTCAACAAATATGCAAACTTTTTAAATTACACATGAAACGTCCAGCCAGAATAAAATTGTCTCGCCTTTCGTACAAAATGTCTCACTAACGCAAATTATAAGTAAATAAAATAAAGTAGGAACTTAGGTTATTGTCTCAGATTTGAATCCAAAGCAATCTTGACCAGACACGATGCCAAAATTTTATCGCTGATAAACGAGGTTTGTTGGTCACGTGTGAGTCAATTCGGCTTCTTTATTGGTAGAGCAAGTCCGATAAAATTTAATAAACAAAAAATATCGCTAGAATACAGAAGAAACCGTGAAAATGGTAGATTCTGATTGGTTCTCGAGATAAAGAGTGAAATAGTCAAGAATATACACTGACCAAGACCAAGTACGATAGAAATGAAGAGTTTTCGTTGGGACAGTTTTCATCTAATGAGTTCACTACTACTCAGTAATACCTCTTCATCCATCATAGTTTTTACCTTATAAAATGTCTTTAATGTATTTGAGTGTTCGTTTCATTGACTATTGCACCTATGGGAATGATAACCCATTGGCCCCATTGCATCTCTTCAGAATGAAATTCTTTCTTTTTTTATGTCCTGGTTCCCACGAAAAGGGATATCCTGTAATGTTCAGAGAACATCGTGAGAACCAAGGGAAATAAGGTAGGAATTGGTGTTCTTCTTGAATTTCTGAAGGTTATATGCCTCGGGAAACACCTCCCTTGGCAATGTGTTCCAAAGCCTCGCTGTTCGTTGGATGAACGAGTCTGGAAAGTTGGATGTTCTGCAGGTCTCCAAAGTGACCTCGAAGGGGTGCGATGCCTCAACTCGACGGGTTAATCTTGCGGGGACTGCCAACGGAGGAACAATTGTTGAAATTTCAGAAGAGCATCGTCCATGAAAATATATATAAAATAGAGCCAGATCGCCAACTTTTCTACGGTGTTCCAGGGGAGTGAGTGAATTTGTGAGCAAGGCGTCCTTCACGAGACGAATTGCCCTTTTTTGGACAGAATCTAACAGTTTCAGGGTATGTTTAGGTGCTGCACTCCAAATACGGAAACAATATTCCAGGACAGGTGTGATATATATAGATCATAAGCAGCTGACTGGAAGTGAAATAGCTCCTGGCCCGAAACAGAAAACAAAGTTTTTGGGATGCACTTTTAGCAATTGATCTCACGTGATTTCCCCAAGAAAGGTTATTGCTGATAGTAATACCAAGCATCGAAATGGATGTCTTCAAAGGTATGGTTACTCTTGAAAAGCTTATGTTAGGCATAGTGAGATCGGCTTTTCTAGATAAAAAGGCATGCTTGTGTTTTGTTTGCATTGAAATCTACCAAGTTATTGGGTCCCCATTTGAGAATTGTTGCCAAGTCGATATTTATGTTGTCAACATTTCTCCCTCATTCGTTTCTGATTTGCCTGGTTGGTATTGGAGCCCTGGAAGAGAAGGCGGTATGGAGGGTACTATCATCCGCGAAGCTGTGTACTGGACGTGAAGTTGCTTCCAACAAATCGTTGATATGGAGTAGAAATAGTGTTGGTGCTAGAATTGATCCTTGCGGAACACCAGCATTCATAGTAAGATAGTCAGATGAAACTCCGTCGACCACTACATGGAGAGACCTGATTGAGAGGAAACTAGCTAGCAGATAACAAAGCTGGGGAGGCAAGCCATAAGATGGAAGCTTGGCGAGGAGTCCGTGGTGCCAGACTCGATCGAATACCTTGAAGATATCAAGTGCCACGGCTAAGGTTTCACCATATTTTTCCACCAGTTGATCTCTGATGACGGAAGCCATATTGCCTATCGTTGATAATACCTGAATGTTCCAGGTATTTCATGAGCTTGATGTTGATTTTTCTCCATGATCTTTTAAATAATAGATAGCAGTGCGATCGGTCTGTAGTTGCTAGGTAGGGTCTTTTTGCCTTTTTTAGGAACTGGTTGTACTCTTGCAATTTTCCAGTTGGACGGGAATATCCCCGATTTGTAAGAGAAGTTGAACAACTTGCAGAGAACAGGTGTTAGTTCGGGAACCAATTTCTTGAGAACAATCGGTGGGATTCCGTCGGAGCCACAAGGTTTCTTGGTGTTGAGGCCCAATAGAATCTTCATTATAGTACGTTGGCAAAAGGTGATCTCGGGCATATGACTGTCAATTGGCGTTATGTTTGAAGGTTGTTTTCCCCGATGAATCCAGAGTGGAATTTCCAGCAAATAAATGCGCAAAAATGTTGGCTTTCTCCTGGGCAGTTGTGGCTAGTGTTCCATCTTCCTTGGTTAGAGGAGGAAACAAGCTTGAAGTGAATTTTCTACAAGATATTAATCAAAACTGTGTCTCCCGTTTGGAATCCTTTGAATCTATGACAAAACTGTGTATAGATTCGGAGTCCTCGAGACATTCCACGTGAGCCTAGATGGATCTAGGTTAAAAATGTGAAAGATTCGAAATCCTCGTGAAATTTTACGTACGCCTAGAAACTTTCGAAATTTCTGAAAAATTGCACAATTTTGATTATCATCTGGTAGAGTCTCATTCTAAAGGGAAGCATTAATCATTTCCATTGGTTTCGATAGGTGATGAAACAAACATTTAGAAACTGAAAATAAATTGAAAATATGTTGCGGCAGTCAAAATTCATGGTGAATCAAAATGGATCGAACATTCTTGGTTTTTTAAGAGAATGCAAGGAAGATAGTTGTGGAATAAAGTAATTTGAATTCTTCACAACAGAAAACCAACCACCTAAGGATAATTCGAATTTGAAATTTGTTATACAGGGTGTATCTAAATAACACCGAAAAAATTCAAGGGGTGTTTCCTTGTGACATTCTAGCAAATAAAGTTCATATGAACATGTGTCCTAACTTGCTCCGTTTTTGAGATACAGGATGTTGAAGTTGGAAGTATTATGGTGCCAAAATTCAGTATGGATGGAGACTGAGAAAGCCCCCAAAATTTCCAAAAGTAATCTCAATGGAAGTCATGAAAACACCTACATCAAAATTTCTCGCTCGTATGATTTGCAAACTTTATTCTCGCGGAAGATGTCTATCGTTTCGTGCTTGTTGAACAATATACTATTTTATTGTATCTCTAGCCACCTCTGTATCCTTTAGGGCTATCCTCTTTCGTTAGGCACTCACCTTCCATAGGAATAAGATATAGCCTCATTATAAACATTATGTCAGAACCTCAAACTCTTGCTGTAAAACTTTCGTTTTTGGAAGCAATAAATATTGGATTGAATTGAACCTACATCAAAATTTGGAGTCAAGTCGATTTTTTATTGTTTTCTCGAAAACTAAGCTAAAGTTGTTATTTCAATAGTTCAATCTAACGAAAATATGAAACTCAGAAAAACCGGTGGTGTACAATGACATTCAACATGAATATCGATAAATTTACCTACTCTGTGACGCTACTGGAAATATTATTTAGAATCTAATTGCACTAGAAGAAGCTACATATTACTATTAACAAAACCACAACGTTTTATTGAACTTGATGAAAAGGCAATTGAGAAATAAATAGAAAATAGATTTTTCACGAAAATATTAATACCCTGTATCTCGAAAACGAAGCAAGTTAGGACCCATATTTATATAAACTTTATGTCCTGAAATATCACAAGGAATCACTCCTTGAATTTTTTTGGTGTTATTTAGATACACCCTGTATAATTACGAAATTTCGAGTAGAAAAGGATGCGACTGTATATTATCAAGTGATCTATTGAATTCAAAAATGTCAACAAACTACAGGGTATTTCATTAGAAAATTATAAGTTGAGGTCACTTCCGTAAACATGGAAAAATACCGCTGAAGTGTAAATAATTATGATATTTTTTATTGAATATTGAATTAATAACTTACATAATATCTACAATCCAATCCATTTCCGGCCACGAGACATTGGGATTATCTTTAATATATTTATCAAATTCATGAACCACCATTCCACAATTCACACCATCGGTTGAAAAAATTTCAGGATTTGTTAAAGACGTACAAACATTTTTAAAATCAGATCCTGCAAAAATTACCACAACTCAGGATTCCATATTTCCAAAATGGGAAAATGTTCACGAAAAGTTACTCAAAAATAATCATTTTGACTTACGTAATTCCATGGACACATCTTTTTCAATATTAGTTAGGATATTTTGATGTCGAGCCACTGACATCAACAGAAATGGTAAAAGATTCTCAACGATATTGATAATCCTCAGTATTTTATCAGAAAACTGACTCACTTTCAGCGAATCGAAACTTTTCACATTGTTATTCAAAATGTTCAATAATTTTTTGAATAAGCTATTGCACAGGAGTCCTAAAAAATATTGAACATTGAAATTATCCGTATTTTTCTGATCTTATGCCGTGAAAAATTACCTTCTTGAAGAGCCCATTTTCCCAAAACTGGAAACAGTATCTGAGCACTCAAATTTACTAAACTGTTACTGGAATCGTTCAATGTGCTCACTGCTAACTGTTCACACTGTATATACTTATCTTTATCGCAACATAATACTGTTAATATCGAAAAAGCTTTAATCACAGTTTCTCTCACGACGTCATCCTTGTCATCCAACATTTGCTGTATTATTGATAGGCAAAGGGAATTTCGTATTGGTTCCTTGAAAAACAATGAATTATTTACTGAAAAGGAATATTCTCTGTTATACAGTGTGTCCATTTAGTGCGTAATTCTTCAATATCTCGAAAGCCATAACCTATAGAGAAAAACTTTGGGAAAAAACCTTTTCAGTTACTGAGAGTTTTTTTAAATGGAACAACCAGTATTGTTCATTCGGAATTAATTCCGCCGAGGCTCACCTTCACATCGCTGTGAAAAAAATTGAAATCGGTTGCGGCGTTGCCAAGTTATAATTGATAAATCTATTTTTACCATTATTGAAGAGTCATGTTGAATTGGGCATGGTGTATTCATTTGTTCAAATTTTGAAAATATTTTTGGCATACGGTAGAAGCAAAGGTCCCACGTATACCAATCCAGTAATTTTGCGACATGTTCTTCAACAGGGTGCTCAATTTTGCATTTAGAAATTTGCAAGATTCAGATGACATTCATCAGAATTTTTCAAATGGAACACCCTGTATTTTTATACAAAAATTCATTCCGACATCTTTCGCCTTTTTATCGCTGGAGAAAAAATCGGAATCGGTTGCGGCGTTGTCAAGTTATGGATAATTTCCTTATTTTTACTACTATTTCGGGGTAATTTGTACGTCATAGTTCTTTCATTTATTTGTATTGTGGAAATATCGCGTTGCTACGGTATAATCAAATTTGTTCATTGACCATTCATATATTTTTCCACAATAGGAACATTCACAGGCTCTCCAAGTTTGAATTATTTTCGGAATACACTTATATTTGTGTGATGATCTGTCAAACATCGCCACAATCAAATATATCTTGGATTGATTCTAAATTTTGTTTGTATTATAATGTTCACCTCCTTCAAATTAAATGGGAATTTGGATTGTGGTAATAACGACAATAAAAATGGCCCAAATTTCAAAAAATTGTCCTAATTTTCACAATTCGCATTTTCATTGTTTGTATTGTAGAAGTTGTTTCAAAGACAGGCGTTGCTTTTGGTATGTTTGTTTGTTTCACATATTATTTAAATCATAAGTAACAAGATTACGGAATATTTTGAATTTGGACGATGCACATATCGCAAAAATAATTGAATGATCTATGTAGAACCTCAAATGTCATGTGGCAAGCAATATTCCCACAGTCAAATCAAATAAAGGAACCATCATGACGTACAAATTACCCCGAAATAGTAGTAAAAATAAGAAAATTACTCATAACTTGAAAACGCCGCATCCAATTTTGATTTTTTCTTCAACGATGAAAAGGCGAATGACGTCGAAATGAATCTGTGAAGAAAAATACAGGGGGTTCCATTTGAAAAATTCATATGATCGTCGTCTGAATATTACAATATTCAGAATGTAAATTTTAGCACCCTGTAAAGGATTATCTCGCAAGATTGACTGAATTGGTATACGTGAGACCTTGCTACTACTGTATACCAGAAATATTTTTCAAAATTTCAATAAATAAATATATCATACCCAATTGAACATGACCCTTCATTAGTAGTAAAAATGAGTTTATCAATTATAACTTGGCAACGCCGCAACCAAATAAAAATTTTTTTACAGCGATGTAGAGCTGAACCTTAGCGGAATGAATTTCGAATGAACAATACTAGGTGTGCCATTTAAAAAAACTCGTCTTCGAGTTGCCCTGCTTTTATAAAACACCTAGTATTGTTGGAAATATTTTTGAAATGAGCAACTTTGGTAATTGAAGAAGTTTATTCTCTAAAGTTTTTCTCTTGTGATAATTGATTTCGAGATATCGAAGAATTACGCACTAAATGGACACACTGTACATATACAGGGTGATCCACGGTTGATGGCCTATTAGAAGTATCTGTAGAACGAAAGGACAGAACATTCTGAAAATTGGAATGCTTTGATAATTGAACATTCTCTATCCGTCTAAAATATTTTCATCGATACAGTGTTGCCACTTCTATGAGAAACAACTAGAAACTTCGTTATTTCAAATGAAGCACCCTGTATTTTATTGCATTTTTAGATTCTTCAAGAGCTAATTTCATCAATGCATCACACTTGGGGTCTAGCAGGAATAATTACAGAGATATAGGGTGTTCAAGATCGCGACTTTTCAATTTTAGGATTTTTTTGTGTCGAAACTATTCATTATCGATCAAAACGGCTTACATGTCCCTATCTAAACATCCGATTCACTATCTACTGACATTTGATTGGAACATATACAGGGTGAGCAGAATTCTGAATCTTGAAGCACCCTGTATTTTTTTAAATTAAATTCCAGTAGATAGTGAAACAAAAGTTAAGATAGCGGCATGTACCGTTTTGATCCATAATGAATAGTATCGACACAAAAAAATCCTAAAATTGAGAAATCTCGATTTTGAACACCCTATATCTCTGTAATCATTCCTGCTAGACCCCAAGTGTGATATATTGATGAAATCAGCTCTTCAGGAGGTATCTAAAAATGCAATAAAACACAGGGTGTTCCGTTTGAAATAACAAAGTTGCTAGTTGTTTCTGATAGAAGTGGCAACACTGTATCGATGAAAGTATTTTAGACTTATAGAGAATTTTCAATTATCAAATCATCCCGATTTTCAGAATGTTCTGACTTTTCGTTCTCCAGATACTTCTAATAGGCCATCCACCGTGAATCACCCTGTATTCATGAACACATACATACATATTCAATACATTGAGAATTAGCATTCTCCATGTGATGAAAATATTAATTCTTTCTCGGTTTATTCAACAGAAAACAACCACTTTCCTGACTATATGCTACGACGAACATTGAATTACATCTATTGAATACACACGATAAGAATTTGAAAACAAAATCTTCCGAAGAAGAGAATTTGCATTCTACTTCATTTAAAGATATGCACATAATATCATTCTGAATATTCAACAGAGAACAGCTATTTTCCTGGCTATTTGCCACGTTGAACATTGAACATCCAAAAAATGAAAATCCTCTGAAATCGAGAATTGACATCATCTCTCAAATCGGATGAAATAATATAGTGTATTATGAAGTAAGTAAGTAAGTAAGTAAGTAAGTAAGTAAGTAAGTAAGTAAGTAAGTAAGTAAGTAAGTAAGTAAGTAAGTAAGTAAGTAAGTAAGTAAGTAAGTAAGTAAGTAAGTAAGTAAGTAAGTAAGTAAGTAAGTAAGTAAGTAAGTAAGTAAGTAAGTAAGTAAGTAAGTAAGTAAGTAAGTAAGTAAGTAAGTAAGTAAGAAAGTAAGTAAGTAAGTAAGTAAGTAAGTAAGTAAGTAAGTAAGTAAGTAAGTAAGTAAGTGAGTATAAGTAAGTAAGTAAGTAAGTACTTTATTTAACCACGTTAATGTATACACATTTTGCAGCAAGTCAGGTTGAAAGTCGATAACTGAGTGATTCGTGAAATATGAGATATCAAGTGAAGTAACAATAAGATACAAACAAAAAAAATAATTTAGATAAAAATACAGATAGAAAGACGATACTGAACAAATAATGCACAGACTAGTTTCGGAACAAAGATATTTCCAGGACAATGATATTTATAGGAATATTTTGTGGTCAGTGACGATGGTCATATGACGGAGGGGAGTCTATGTACTCTGATACAGAATAAAAACATGATTTTGCCAGAAATTGTCTCACCCATTTTTTGAATTTATTAGCCTCCATGTTCGTAACATGAGTAGGTAGGTGATTATATAGATTTATGTTGAGCGAGTTTCTAGAAGATCTTGCCAACTTGTACCAGGGGGGGGGCTAACTTGGCCTGAACCTCGAGTATTATAATCATGGAAATGGGAATTAAGTTGTAGTTTATCCTTATTGTTATGGATTTCCAGCACTTGATGGTATATATAAAGGGATGGTAATAGTTGCGTTTTATTTATCCGATTCCGCCACCGGAATCACTTTGATGTGTCGTTTTATTTGCAACTTTTCCGATTCCGGTTGCTACTTTTCATTCCGTCTCACTACAAGGAATGACGTGAATGACTGTTGACAGTTGTCAAAATATTATATTAGATTGACGAAAAACGAAACATTTTGAAAGTAGAAGACATTTAGCAGACATTGTTATCGTGAAGTTCACAAGTTTACGATTCCTTCAATTGAGACAGGTTTCATATGTTCATTCCCAGATAAAATTAATTCTCTCGATCTATCTAAGTTTCTCCAATCACCACTATCAATGCTCCAAATATTCGTTGATTGATTTTTCCAGATTCTTAACTCTAGTATCATGATTTCGAAATTATTTGTAGCCCCAATATATAAATATAACCTCTCATGTCACCTCATGTGATTTCTCTTGCAAGGTCATGAGTTGTCGTTTTATTTGTAAACGTCATTCTGTTCCCACCACCGCTACCAGAATGAAACAAATAAAACGCAACTAATGACATGATACTATATTGTTGGTAAAGAGGCCGACTGTGGTCTCTATATCCAGCATTCGCGATAACTCTCTCGAGCTTGTATAACATTCAACGTAAATTCTAAATCTGGAAATGCACAGGATATCCCATCCCAGCGCTTTTTCGTGTCAATTGCCATTGAATAGATCGAATGGATCCCTCTACTAATAAAGCATTAAATTTTTTTGTTATTCTTTTCTGTAGTTTGAAGACTTTGAATGAATCCATAGAATTTCCACATAAGATTATTCCATACGATAAATGAGAATGAAATAATGAATAATACATAGTCAGGAGAACTTCTATATTGATCACTCTTCTCAGTTGTCTCATGATGAAAATCGAACTGGAAAGTTTAGAACATAGAATATAACTTACCAATATGTTCAGTATTGAAATGAAAATTGAAATGTATAGGACAAGTATACGTGTATAAACTCTGATCTTGATGGGCTTGGAACTTCCAAAAAAATCATTCATATCAGTGATATATAAATAATATCTCTCACAAACAGGTTATGATTATGACTTCACTCGAGTAAAACTCATTTCGGATATAAAATCCTCATGAATCTGAAGACCAGGGGGCCTATTCTCGAATGTCGAACGAAATATGTCGTATGCGACATATGTCGATAGAAATTGTCGCACAACGTTATTCTCGATTGCTTTCGACTTCAAACTCGCATGAGACAAAATTTATCGAATAGCATGAACTGGCAACATCGAATTAACGATTCTCGAATGTGTTCTGTGTCAATGTGTTGTGGTTTCTTTTTTGTTATGATGGAGGTTATGTCAATGATATGTCGTTGAAATAATAATGGCAGTGAAAAGAAAAAAGTTATTGTATTTCATCTTAAAAAGGAAACACTCAACTTGATGGAAGAAAAATAGAATGAGCCACTGACAATGACAATATTTCACCATTTGAGAATAGGGTCCCAGTTATTCTTTCAGCCATTCTTCATGATATACACAATTTCAATTCAGAATTTCTTTCCACGTCCTGTATGATGAATATCAATTTATCATCCATGTCTTCAATTTCATTCCCTTATCTGATAACACAATGACTTCCTTGTGTTTTTATTTCACGATAAATGTCATCTTATATGAAATGAAAAATTTCAAGCAATGACAGCCATGTCTAATAGATGAGCATTATACTTGAGAGAAAATCAGATGGCTACAAGCTGAAGAAATTGAAAATGTCGCTATTCTCTGTTACAGCCGTAGAAAAAGTATAATATATAACTCCACTCGTATGATTTGCAGCATTTTCGTGGGAAATACCCATCATTCCGTGCTGATTGAACAATATACTATTTTGGTGGATGCACTTACTGAAATTAATGGGATCAAAGCAATACACGCCTCAGCAACTAGCAAACGCCTTTCTACATATTTGTGAGTCAGTTGTAGCCAGCACTGTGGCAAAATTTCATTTTCGATTACACTTTCCCCTGAACACTTGGCAATAGCAAGCAATCCTGAAATTTTCAAAACAAATGATAGGTACATCTCATAAATTCTTTCTTCCACATCAAGAAAGGAAAAACCTCGAAGTCGTCTCCACAAATATTTTGATAGCAGATTGCAGCAAGAGAGTCAAGTCTACAAAGAAGAATCTTACTTTATATCTAGATCAAGAAATCATCTATACTAATATTATCATAGTCCAATAAATAAAGGGAAAAAGTTAACATTAATTACGCACTATTTTCATCTTCCGGTTGGAAGTAGCTTTTGGTACCTCATTAAACATGAGACAAAGTTTGACTAGAGAACGCGTGCAATGGCGGAGAAAATGGCCCCAAAAGACCAGAAAGATAGGTTTTCAGCCAATATCTCCTAAAATATGGCAGTTAGAGATTTTCGGTTCAGATAAAAATTGAAGTTCAGTTAATTTTTTACAAAAATGGTCCTCATCATTTTTCTCGAAAATTTGCCCGGTTTCGAGAAAAACGGCACGAAGCGCACCTCGAACAATGAGATTCTGTGTTGTATGCCGGAGAGCATAGTCCGTGTATTTACACATCGGCGGGGGGACAAATTATTCAATAACTTTGTTAAAAATGCATATTTTCTCATGATTCAAAGTTCATGTGAAAGAGGAATTCTGCTGCTATCATACCCTGTGAATTGATTCACGCTTGACTCTTTTGGCCATATCGGAACATGGGTCAAACTTTCTGCTCCCGGTCAATTTTGACCTCGCCAGGAATTTGTTCCTATTTTTTTTTGTATTGCACTAATTTACTCAAAATTCTCTTGATTATGGGTCCTCATAAGGTCCTTAGTCATCCCTGAAATTTATATACCCTATTTTTCTTAATTTTCATTTAATCTTTGTTTATTGAATCACAATTTTTTGCTGTTTTTGGAGCGCGGGGAAATTTTGTGAACAACCATCAATTAAAAATTTATACATGATCCGATTGGTTTCTATGATACATCATTTGAAAGCTAAGAAGGTCTACTTTTCGATTGTGCAATTACTTTGTTAGACGAAGTCGTCCATTTTTCAATAAAATTAGAAAAAGCGGGGTCAAGGAAAAAACGCACTTTTTTTTCGGTGTTTTTTTTCTCCGTGCTATTTATTTCTAACATTTTAACACCTTAACTAGTGTAACGGGGGAATTCCCACCTTTCCATCGATGTATATAAGTCATACCTTTGATATCCCGGGAAAAAGTATATCTAAATGTACACGCTATAATTTATTACTTTCGTTTCTCCGTCGTTCGCCGCGTGTGCTCTACGTGGCGCTCGGGTCGTCTGCTAGAAACCATGCGGCCACGCAGGGTATGATAGCAGCAGAATTCCTCTTTCACATGAACTTTGAATCATGAGAAAATATGCATTTTTAACAAAGTTATTGAATAATTTGTGCCCCCGGCGATGTGTAAATACACGGACTGTGCTCTCCGGCATACAACAGAAGCTCATTATTCGAGGTGCGCTTCGTGCCGTTTTTCTCGAAACCGGGCAAATATTCGAGAAAAATGATGAGGGCCATTTTTGTAGAAAATTAACTGAACTTCAATTTTTATCTGAACCAAAAATCTCTAACTGCCATATTTTAGGAGATATTGGCTGAAAACCTATTTTCCTGGTCTTTTGGGGCCATTTTCTCCGCCATCGCACGCGTTTTCCAGTCAAACTTTGTCTCATGTTTAATGAGGTACCAAAAGCTACTTCCAACCGGAAGAAGAAAATAGTGCGTAATTAACGTTAACTTAACTGCCTTTTTTTCCTCCTTCATTTATTGGACTATAAAGATGAAAGATTTGATTGATTGTTTGTTTGTATGTATTGAATGGGCTCCGAAACTACTGGATCGATTTGGCTGAAAATTGGTGGGGAGGTAGCTGAGACCCAGAAGAAGGTTATAGGATACTTTTTATCAACGGTACCATTGGAAAATTCAAGATGGCGGATCTAATATATCGGATGAGTTTTGTAATTATGGTCCGATTCTATTCAAAATAATTGGTATTTGGGGGTTTTCGGGGTCGGAGATTACGATTCTCTCGTCAGAATTTGAAAATTCGGGCGGAATTTGGAAATTCAAGACGGCGGAACCAATATGGCGAACGAGTTTTGTAATTATAATTCGATTCTTCTCAAAATTGGGTTTTTGTGATCGGGGATTATGATTCCTTCGTCAAAATTAAGATACTCAAGATGGCGGATCCAAAATGGCGGATTTTGTGATTAGGATCCGATTTTATTCAAATTTGGTATCTGGTGGTTCTCGGGGTCGGAGATTGATTCTTTCGTCAAAATTAGGAAATTCAAGATGGCGGACCCAATATGACGGACGAGTATTGTAATTATGATCCGACTCTCTTCGAAATTGTTATCTGGGTGTTTTTGGGGTCGGAGATTATGATTTTTTTGTCAAAATTTGGAAAGGGCGGGATTTGGAAATTCAAGACGGTGGAACCAATATACCGGACGAGTTTTGTAATTATATACCTATTCTTTTCAAAATTTGTAAGTGGGCGTTTTCGGGATCAAACATTATGATTCCTTCGTCAAAATTAGGAATTCAAGATGGTAGATCCAATATTGCGGTCGAGTTTTGTAATTATGTTCCGAGTCAATGATAAGGTTATAGAAGCATCAAATTGTGTGAAATTTTTAGGGCTCACTTTGGACAGTAACTTGAAGTTCACAACACATTGTGATAATCTCATGGAATATTTGAATACGAAATGCTACCAGATTAGGGTTTTGAGAACCGTTTTGAACAAAGAGGCACTATTATTATTTTACCATGGTCAAATTTAGTCTCTATTGATATACGGCATTTTGATTTGGGGTAGCTCATCTTCTATGAAATATGTTTTCATAACTCAGAAAAGAATAGTCAGATGCATTGCCAGTGCTTCTATGAAAACTTCCTGTCGAGGTTTATTCAGAGAATCAATTTATGGTTTATACATTCTGGAATTATTAGTGTATATACATAAAAATGTTGATCGATTTGCAAAAAATGAAACCGTTCATAATTACGACACTAGGATAAAGAAACATCTCCACATGCCCAAAAATCGTTTGTCATTTTGTCAAAAATCTTACCAAACCATCGGTCTTAAGCTATATAATATAATACCTGAAGAGTACAAATTGTTGAGAGAATTGAAACAATTCAAAATGAAGATTAAATCTGTGATATTGACGATAGTCCCATATAGTATTGAAGAGTTCATTGATTATTTCAGATAATGCTTGTTCAATGTCAATGTAGGTATATTATGTTTGTTTTGTTTTATACCAATGTATATGTATATTTTTATCTGCAATTCCTGTATGATAAGTTCTTTGAAAGTGGACCAATAAATCTATCTATCTATCTATCTATCTATCTATCTATCTATCTATCTATCTATCTATCTATCTATCTATCTATTCTATTCAAAATATTCATCTGCGGTTCTAAGGGTTCGGATATTATGATTCTTTCGTCAAAATTGGGAAATTCAAGTGAACTAAAAAGAAGTTGAATTAAATGGTAGTTTGAAAAACTAAAGAAACACGCTTTTATAGATAGCGAAACTAAAAAGAAGTAGAAAATAAAATAATAATAGTGTCTTGATGAATATTGAACAGAAATAATTTATTATAGAAATAATGTATGTAGCAAAGTAACGTTTGCGAGGTCTGCTAGTTTTAAATAAAAGTAAACATTTAATTGTGTTTTTCGAAGATGTTCATTTTCTCCTTAATCATGAAATTATTATTCAATAGTTTTTTTATGTACCTTCCCATTTTGAGATGTTTTTGCAGTAACATAGGTTATATATTTTCAATATTCTGAATTTGGCTGTACAGTGTGTTCCGCTTTAATGTTTCCCACCCCCTTATTTATCCTAATTCTCAACATATTTTGGTAATTCAATAACTGTTCTGGAATAATTTTTCACTAATGATCAAAATATGTTCGAGAATTACGAGGATAAAGGGGGGTGACACATTCAAGTGGGACACCCTGTACAATCCCATATCTATATCTTTGTCACATTTATGATATCTTTTTATCTCGATGTGAGTGAAGTAAGATTTTTTTGTAGGCTTGCTTTATGCACATGACTGATGATGACCATTTGAATGGTCGAAACTTGTCTCAACCCGCTTGAAGCATCTATCATATCTGCAATCTGCTATTGAAATATTTGTAGAGACGACGAGGTTTTTCGTTTTTCTGTTCATCCCAATCCACTTGTGAGTATGGACTGCTTCAGAAGATTTTTCTTTCACATTATTTCCTACTCACCACCCACTATGACTTTCCTTTCGGCTTCAGAAGGCTTCTTTTTCAAATTGAAAAACTGCTGCAACAGTTGGTCTCTTTCAGACGCCTTCGGGTTCAAATGTATCGTCGTCAGCAGTAACGGAATGATGTCTTCTCTTTTATTCAAAATGACACTCGGAATGATCGTTAGTAAAGCATTCGAAGTGAGATGAACGTAGTCTTCGTCGACTACGGTTTTACTGAGAATTTGGTGTGTTTCCTGATCTACTATGGACGGGGTGTCAATATAGCAAGCTACGAACACCTCTTTGGTAAAAGGGCACTTTTTGAAAATGGAACTGAAATTATATTACCGATTATTTTCTTCTTGTGATTTTAAATCAATCAGAACTTTCAACTGGGTTAAGCTACCTTGTATCTTGTATAGTTTCGAATATACGTGGATATACATATAGTAACTCCACCAGAAATTTAGAATTATTTCAATAGTTAGCAATTCATATTGATATACAGCGTGTCTCACTTTAAACGGCCCCCCTCTATATCTCAGTTATTAGTCATGCGATTCCAACCAAATCTGGCGTGGTTTGAATAACCATCAATATAATCAGTTTTTCAGAGATGCACATTATTTTGGACAGTGCCGTGCGTTTTTATTGAACTAAAAAGGGGTCGATTTCTCATAAAATCATATTAGGCATTTTTTACAGGAAATCTAACCTCATATTATTGTTCCTCATGCTTTAGAACCTCCATATGCAAAAAATCACCGAATTCCGAATTAACAGGATTGGCTCCCTTTTTTACATTTTCAGTGTCTCGAATAAATGGTGACTTCAAATCAAATACGAATTTTGGAACGTTCAATGGCTCCGGTAGGTGGAAAATCATGATTTGGAAAAAAAAACGAGTTATACTTTTTTATGTTGAACTCACCGTTTCCGAGTAAATAATTATTACGTTCGCAAAAATACTGTTTAGATGTGCCTTTTTTTCTTAAACCCTTCATGGGAATCCTATGAAAATCCACATATGTGGGTTTGAAACTATGAAGAACAATATTAAAAGGTCAGTTTTCCTGTGAAAAAATGCCTAATATGATTTAATAAACAACTAACCCCTATTCATTTCAATAAAAATGCACGGCACTGTCTAAAAGTATGTTTGTCTTTTAAGAACTGGTCATATTGATGATAATTCATACCGATACAAATTTGGTAAAGATCGCACGACTGATTGCTGAGATATAGAGGAGGGGGCCGTTTGAAATGAGACACGCTGTATACAAACAAAGCGCGTCGTAAAACGTTGACGTTCGTTCAGAACTACTCAGAAAATAATTGCATCGGATACAATGCGAACTTCAAACTATTCATAAGTAATATCACGATTTTCTGAATATTCACTTGTGATACCACCAGAGGTCAAATTATTTCCGGAAATTTTTTCGAGCTAATGGATATTTTGAAAATTATTTCGAGTGGAAGACAAGTTTAACAGAATAATTCTGCCGCTTCGTCAAGTTATTGATGTATAACCCGAATATGTTGAGGTACTTATAGTATTACTACTGATAATATGTTGGATTAACTTGATATACAGGGTATGTCACAACGAGCTTACACTGTCTCTATATCGAGAATCAGTCGGGAGAAATTCATGAAAATATGTATGCTTATATTTTAGAAAACGCTCTCTTCATTTGAAATATTTTCAGCAATGCAGTGCAAAACGGCAAAAGGATTCCAAGAATTTCGTAAAAATTAAATGAAACCCAAGGGAATTACAGAAATTCAAAGCATTTCAATGGATTTTAACAAGTAATTTTCGACAATTTCAAAGTATTCGAAATATTTCTAAGGTATTTCAACCTCGTTTTTAACGAATTTCACGGAAACCCAAGGGAATTTCAAAAGAATTCCTTGAAAATCATAAGCAATTCCAAAGAATTCTCAAAAGTTTCAATGAAATACAAGAGATTCAAAGCATTTGAAGGGATTTGAAGTATTTCTAAGATTTCTAAAGCATTTTAACAGCAAGAGGATTCTTAGGATTCCATGAAAAATCAATTAAACCCAAAGGAATTCCAAATGATTCCTTGAAAATCATAAGCAATTCCAAATAATTCCCAAAGTTTCAATGAAATACAAGGAATTTGAAGCATTTGAAGAGATTTTAACAAGGAATTTTTAAGAATTTCAAAGTACTTCAAAGATTTCTAAGGCATTTTAAGCTCAATTTTAACGAATTCCAAGAAGAATGAAATGAACCCCAATAGAATTTCAAAGAATTCCTTAAAGTAGACAAATAATTTCATGGAATTCTCAAAAGTTACGGAAATACAAGGAATTTGAAGTAATTCAAATAATGCAAAGGATCCCCAAACAATTCAAAGGAATTTCATCAAGGCATATTCCACGGAATTTCAAATTAATTTATGGAAATCAATAAGAAATACCAATGCCAAACTGAAATCCAGCATTCAAAAGGATCCTAGGATATCAGGAATTTCAAAAGATACCAAGGAATTTTAAGGAAATCCAAAGGATTCCAAGGGATTCACATTAATCATATTGAAAACCTTTGAATTAGTGAGCATCCATGCAATTTGTTATTCAACAGTGTAAGGTGAATTATTCAAAGATTTTTGATGTTCAATATTACATTCAAATTAATAGTAATCACCACAAACATACAACTAGACAACCAGAACATTTTTCTGTCAAGAAAATTGAATTATATATTGGTAAAAAAAAAAACATTTATCACAATGGACTGATACAATAAAATTCACTACCAAATAACTTGAAGCTGATTAATAGGATTAAAAAATTTAAAAAGGAATTCAAGGATCATCTACTCCTGTAATATTGACATCTTATCCCATTTTTATAGTTTTCTCTTTATAGTTTTCCTGTACAACTACTATAGTTTTCCATTGAGTACCAAACAGAGTCAATTCAATTCAAGATGAACTTGGAAAAATGTTGTTTCTTGGGAATAATAAAGTTGATTGATTGATACACACTAGTGTTTTTGTTAGCAATCATGAACCAAACAGTACCATAAATGAAGACAAATGAACTGGTATTCTACTAGTTTACCAACACACCTGATGTCAGCCTCTGCATCAGTTTCATTTTTTATTTGAGACTGAGATTCTTTATTTCCTATGGACACATTCATCCATTCATTTGTGTTTGAGCTATTATTTGAAATGTTGTCCTCCAGAATGATACTGGCACTGTTTCTATCACTATTACCATCCACCATCTCAAATCTTTCTGGAGAATGGGTATAATCCTGTTCTTGGCTGGAAATCACAGAGTTCACTCTTGCTTGATTATCTGTACAGCTTTGATGCAGCATTAATTCTTTCATAGCATCATGAAGCTTCAGAATTTCAGAATTTTCAGATTGGAGAGTGTGGATTTTTGCTTCTAATGTTTGAATAATCCTATTCTAGAAAATAGCAAATTGAAGAGGTAGAGATGCAGTAGATGCATGTGGGATTTTTAGAAAACTATACCATTTCTTTGATCAATTCTTCATTTTCATCCTCATCAGTTTGACTTGAAATATGTGAGCTATTACACCCAGTTTGTTTTAACCCATCTCTATATAAAGAAAGCAGTTCAGGTGGTTTTGAAATGTTCAATCCTACGTCATCCCAATCATCAAAATCCTGTAAGAGAAATGCCAATATCTACATAACATCAACCCAAAAAATCCCCAAGACATTATGAGGTAACACAGGAAATTGGCTCTCGGTCGAATTGGCTGAAATTTGACTATGTTGTTGTGGGATGGCTCATTAGAAATATATGTGAGTTTAAAAAGTTTTGTATGTTTAGTTTCTGAGATATAAGCCGAAAAAGTTCGTAAAAACGTTCGTAAGATTGACAAAGAAAAAAACTGTTTTTTTAGTATAAATGAAACAAAATAAGCTAGAAAATGTATTGATCGGAACTCATAAACATGTCTAGTTATGATCACATGAATTATAGTAAATCAGGGTGTATACTAGGCACGGTCAAAAAATTCATTTTTCGGAAAAAAAATTCGAGCACCATTCCAAAACCAACAAGTTATATTTTGGTGAGACATTATAGTTTCAGTCTATTGTAGGCTTCGGAAACGTATTTTGATTCTTGATAACTATCTCTGTTCGAAATATGAATTTTTAGAATTTTATGTTATACCCCTTTTTGAAAACAATTGAAAGCTTGTTTTTGATCACAAAGAAAGGAATTGATTGATACTGTTGATTGAATGAAAGCTGAGGAAACTTACTAGCGAATTCAGTAGTTCAATATTGCCTTTCATTTAGATACAGGGTGTGTTAGATTCTGTTGAAGATTATTTATCATGTTTCAATTGAATCTCTCGAAAACAGTTCCGTTAATTTGGATCTCATTTTACACACACTATTTTGAATATGTTGACTATCAAATGCAAAAAGTTTTTAAATTTTTTTATGTTTCGTTTCTGAGATATGCATTTTTGAGTTTACAGTATTACAAGTATTATAGGGTTATTACCTCGGATATTACTATCAAAAATTGATATCTCAGAAACGGAACATAAAAAATTGAAAAACTTTTTGCATATGATAGTCAACATATTCAAAATAGTGTGAGTAAAATGAGATCCAAATTGACGGAAGTGTTTTCGATATATTCAATTGAAACATGTTAAATAATGTTCAACAAAATCTAACACGCCCTATATCTAACTGAAAGGCAATATTGAACTACTGAATTCGCTAGTGAGTTTCCTCAGCTTTCATTCAATCAACAGTATCAATCAATCTCTTTCTTTGTGATTAAAAACAAGCTTTCAATTGTTTTCAAAAGAGGTATAACACAAAATTCAAAGAATTCATATTTCGAACAGAGATAGTTATCAAGAATCAAAATACGTTTCCGAAGCCTACAATAGACTAGAACTATAATGTCTCACCAAAATATAACTTGTTGGTTTTGGAATAGTACTCGAATTTTTTTTTCCGAAAAATGAATTTTTTGACCGTGCCTCGTATACACCCTGATTTACTATAATTCATGTGATCATGACTAGACATGTATTTGAGTTCCGATCAATACATTTTCTAGCTTATTTTGTCTTATTTATACTGAAAAAACAGTTTTTTTCATCATCAATCCTACCCCGATACGGCGTTTTTACGAACTTTGTAGGCTTATATCTCAGAAACTAAACATACAAAACTTTTCAAACTCACATATTTTTCTAATGAGCCATCCCACAATAACATAGTTAAATTTCGGCAAATTCGACCAAGAGCCAATTTACCCTGTTTTCGTGCGGGGTCCTTTACATATACCATTGTGCACTAAATTTCAACATTAATAGAAATAGTGATGAATAGTTAGTGTTTATTTTCACAAAGTATTCATAATTTCAAATTTCTAATGCAATAGTAGTTTTGAGTATTTAAACTTATTCAATTTCTGAATGATTATCTCATGATGAGTATTGGTTGTTCTAAGTTTGATTGTTAATGCTAATTCATATAGTATTTCTCTTTTAATATGATTATTTATTTTCTTTTTCTATTTGTAGACATGTATGTCATGCAATATCTATATCACTGATTACTAGAAGAAATATTTTACTGATTAACAAAGTTATTTTTTCATTATTCAGATAATATTTGGTTAGGAATTGAATTTTGAAAGTATTTCTCTGTTTCATTTCGATTGGTTTTCATTTGAGTTAGATATGTTTGTTATTTTCTGATATGAAATTCTTTGTTAGCCATTTTACAGTTGTTGATATACTTTGAATGATGATATATTTACCTATAGGTATATAATTATGTACTTCCTTATAACAGAGCCTATTCTGTTGGGATGTTATTTGTTCAATTTTCACATGAAACCATGCAAAAAACAGTAAAAACATTTTCACATGTGGTAGGCCATGATAATAAGGAAACAAAATATCAGTCATCATGACTACAAGTTAGTATCAATACCTGTTCATACCCATGTATAACAAAACATTATATTATATTATATTAATTATATATTATATTTACATTACATTTTTCTTCCCCCAAGACATTATGAAATTAAGTAGGAAATAGTAGATTTCCAGGACCTCCTTGTTTATTTATGATCAACTTTTCTTGAAATTTCAATAATTGCTTACCTGGTTTGGATTCTCATCAGCAAATGTTATTGATGTTAGCTTATAACCATGTATCAAGAGATATTCATTGATTAGAAAATTCAGAGCTCTCTGTTCATGTGGTTTTATACCACTAGCATTTGTATTTCTCATGTTATCTTTGCTGGCATTAGGAGCAGTTATGTCAATCTCTGTAAAAAAGTATGTGAACAATGAATTTCAATGTTGAATCTCATCCATTTTTGGGCAAATGAAAAATCAAAGGAATGAAACTCCCGAACTTCAGTATTTGATTTCATTTAGGCTACTCCAAAAACCAGGGAAAACATTTGCAAGACATTGAATTGAAACTGAAAACTGTGAAAACATTGTATATAAAGAGCAAAGAGTACAATAGCTTGGACCAATATTTTACCAGTCTTATAACATATGAATGTTCACTGTATAATCAAAACAATATTTGAAGCTGCTCATTATTATTATACTATCACCAACTTTACTCAGATGATCTACCTGTAGCAACTGTAAGGTTATTCCTGAGGGCATTTATTGTCTCTTTTGCTTTTCTAAGTTCGAATTCTAGAATGGCAACTCTTTCATCTGTTCCTGCCCCATCCTCTGAATATCTGGTTAAATCTAAACTGTCTAAAGTAACCTGACTTCCAGATCTTGCTGAAATATATATTCAGATGTGAACAATCCTGTAATGGTACTATTGCCAAGAGTTTATACTTACATAATTGAGTAGAAAATTCTTGTGTTTGTAATTCAAAATTTTTTGGATTAGAAAAAAAGTTTTTTAGTTGTCTTATTTCCTTTCCAGATTCTAATAACTCCGAATGAAATTCCAGAGCGGTGAGTAGTAGTCTATCATTCAACAATTTTTCAGCTATATCACTGTAACTCACATCCTTGTTTATGAATTCAAATTTTTCATTTTGTTGAGACTCTGAACCTGTTGCCATTTTGACAATGGATATATCTGAATCATAGAGGTATGATATATTGGAAATAACGGTGCATTTGTGCTGAATGAGTGAACTCTATGCTCAACATTTCAAAAATTGTGGAAATTCTTCAGATTTTCATGTGAGCTAGCCAGATTGCTGAAAGTTTTGACTCTGAAAAAGAAATATACTGGGACCGTATGACCAGTCATATTTTGTCATCAGGTGACAGTGGTGACACGTAGTTCATCGATAAATAATTTTTTTAAAGCGATAATCCGATAATAATTAATTATTTATTAATGTTAATTATTATTGTTTTTATTTATTATCAGAAATGTCATCAAATGCAATGTCATCAATGTCAACCATATGTCAATTGAGAATATGTCAATGTCACATGTCAACAACTCAGTGTTCCCAACCACTGAAATGCTACTATTCTCTTCATTCAAAAAAGATGAAGAAATGTCGTATTTATCGGAATTCCGACTTGTCTCACCTTAAGCCAGTCAAATGGTTCCGCTATGTACTTGACTGGCCTGTTCGTTTGTGCTTGCTCTACCTGCAAAACTTGATTTTTTTTCTATGACTCTCTCTGTTTACATTATGCAATGTGAGAGAGAAACAAATCAACTAGCAATACAAACGAACAGGCCTGACATCTGCTGCCACCTTTCTGCTACAGTAGACCTTGACAGTAGACAGCCTTTTGTGCGCATGTCAAACAAATTCAAAATTGGAGGGAAAATGAATTTATTAACTGAAGTGAAGGAAGACGTTAACCTCTGTTTTGTGTGTCAGTCAAACGTGTAGTAGGAGTAGCCATTTAAACCCTTTAAATTTGTTTATATTTGTGAAAATTTCAAGTGAATATGAGCCAGCCATCAGTAGCTTGTTATTTCGGTTCGAGGAAAAGGTCAGCGATCGATGATCTGAAATTGAATCGTGCAAAAAAAGTTTTAGTGCTCGATAATGATCCTGGATTTGGTAAGCAAACAGTTGAATCTGAAAATGTGAGTGCCTTATGCTCCTCATCAGTTGCTTTCACCAAAGATGAATTTTCCTCTGGCTCAAACGACAAGTTTCAAAATAAGGAGAAGAGCAGAATAATCCTCTCAGTTGGGAAAACTCTGGATCAAAGTAAAATGCAAAAATCTGGGACTAAAAAATCAGCTCCAAAAACTAAACTTGCCAAGAACTCCAACTACAATATGGACATACAACAGTTACTTAGTAACATGGGAAAAGGAAATGATAGTTCTATTTTACCTAAAAGTGAAGATATTTCAAGTACTACACATATTATTGAGAGACATGTAACACCTCCAAATACTCCTAATAAAGTATCAAATGCATTGGATAAGGTGAAAGAGATACCAGATGGGCCTTCTATCAAAGAAATCAAGAAAAAAATGACTAGAAGTGCTAGATTAGCTGACTTGAAGGCTTCTATCAGTAGATTCCAAAGTAATGCTGATAAACTTGTGCAAGTGGAGAAAAAGACATCCCAAATTCCAGAATCACCTAAATTGAGAAATTTCAAAACCATTGAATTGGAAGTACAAACTAGGTAAGAATATGCAGGTCAATCTAATGATAATATCAAAATATTTTTCTTCAAGTAACCTACTTATTGTTTCATTTATAACATGAGTTGATTTGGAATGCTGATACTATTTTTGCAGTATGCATCACTTTTGTATTCATGCATTAGCAAGTTTTTGTTATATATACAAATCAATAATGAATCAGCAATGTCAGCATTCCCAGCAGATCAAATTGCATGGAAATGGATTAGACTTTCCAAAATTACAAAATTTTCAATTTAGATCTTAATCATTGAAATAGAATGGATTATTATTGACAAGCATTCGATGATACAATAATTGTTCCCATCAGTTCATCAAAACTAGAATTGATAAATTATCATAAATTTCTTCAAAACATGTGAAAGTGTGAACAAGCAAGAGGTTGACATTTTTCTTCCTTCACCTATTTCATCTTATTCTTTTCATTTCCTCCTATTTTCTAAAATAAAAATGAATTTCTCATAGTGCAATAGATTTTCTTAGGTCATTTCCTTTTAATTCATATTCATTTGCTTCATTCATATACTTTCTTTTCTCATTCATTTCTCTCATTTGCCATGCATTTCATCCATTCTTTCCATTTATATCCTTCAAGTCCTCCCATTTCTCATATCTCCTTCCATTTGTTTTCATTTCCTTCAATTTCCTCATTCATTCTCATTTCTATTAATTTCCTCACATTTTCTATTAATTTCTCCAAATCTTCCATTTTTTCCTGCATTTCTTCTCATTTCCTTGCTGCTTGTACCAAAGATTCATCTGTTGTGTACATGAAATAAACACAGAAACTTCCAGCAAAAAAAGTTGGCGAGAAAAATTAGTCAAATTGATCGCCCTGTAAATTTTTAATTCTTGTCCGATCCTGGTCAAATTTCAACCAAATCCTAGATTTATTTTTGGGAATGTTAGCATGAATTCAAGTTCCCAAGAAAAGCTGATGGCTTGATCATTAAATAGGAGAAAAACAAGAGTTATTCTTTCCCCCTTAACTTCTTAACACAATAACCTCCAGAAATTTGAGGAGAACACAGATTCCTACCTTATTTTTCTTGGTTCTCACAATGTTCCTCGAACATTACAGGATATCTACCTTTTCATAGGAACCAGAACCGAGGGGGTTGCCACTGGGGAAATTCTCGTACACTTGAGAGGAAATACGGGGCAATGCGAGGAAATTTTAGGAAATGTGGGAAATATGAGGCAATACGAGGAAATGTCTGGATATGCGAGGCAATACAGGGAAATACGGGGCAATACTGGGAAATGCGGGGCAATAAAAATAAATACCGGAAATACTGAAAATACGGGAAATGCGGGAAATACGAGGCAATACTGGGAAATACGAGGCAATACCGGGAAATGCGGGGCAATACTGGGAAATTCGGGGAAATATTTGGCAATGTGGGGCAATGCGAGAAATGTCGGGAAATACGAGGCAATGCCAGGAAATACGGGAAATGCAAGGAAATATCTGGAAATGCGGGGCATTATTTAGCAAAGCGGTTGAAAAATTGAGACAGTCGGCAAGACAAGACAAGAATTAACCCTCTTGTGCATGATTTAATTAAAAAAATTCAAAATGAAATGAAATTTTGAAAATCATTCATGGTAGTATGGTAGGTAATGAATTGACAATATGAAATATTGACCAAACTCCTCCATTTTTTTCTCAAAAACACCAAAAAACTAAATGTCCACTCTAGTGGACATCATGCATTTTCCATCATGATAATTCATCTCTGACTGATATGGAAATATTGGAAACAATCAGGACAGCAAGGTTCATTACACCTTTTACTTATACAAGGTGAGTCATGACTAACCAGCCAGAGCCTAATGGTGCATAGAGGACGTCAAGGTGAGTTGATATTGTATATGTGAAGAAATCTATTTTGACAGGGCATTATTTGAATTCAGACCAAAACTTTGATGAACGATATTTGAGAATCGTCATATGTTATCACAAAAAAATTCCAGAGCCGGACTTGGGAAACTCATTTCCTTTTTAGATGTCAAAAACTATTATCCAACTTGAAAGAGACGCTACAAGTGTGGCTCTTCAATTTGTACAGCACACTTTGCCGGTTTGGTGAAAAAATATCAAACAAAATTCTGATTTGGTCCTGGTACATTACCTACTCTCACTCTCTACATTCTACAGAAAGTATTCAAATCAATGTTTTTGCATATTCTTGATAAATAGCAGCAGATAGTTGAGAAAAAGTATTATCCAATAAAAACATTCAGGACTGGACTTAGTTTCTGGAAAGGAATACAAAACAATTATATGTATATTCTGAATCCTCCGGGATCTCGAAAATTGCTTGGAATTCATCAATTTATCATCAAAAAGAACAGTCTGAAAACGAAAAGTTAAATAATCAGGTCATGAAATGCACGGCGTCCACTAGGTTGGACATATAGGTTTTCTGATTCTGACTGAGGCACAATGAAATATTTTGTTATTATATATTTGCATTCCTAATTATAGGTTACAATAATCATAATTTCGATTTATTAAAATTTTTCTAGCGCCTCCATTAAATATTCTGACAGGAATAACATTGAAGTCTTCAGCAACCATTTTACATTAGTGCAAATTAAGTCCATATGACACGGGCCAGTTTTTCACTCATAAAATGGATCATTTTTGAACACAAAAAAACATTCAGAATAATCTGAATCATTTTCTGTGGGAAAATTCTCTGCTGTGTGACACGACATAAGATCACAGATAAGATATTGTGACAAGGGGCATGCGCATGTTATTAAATAATCATGGAAATATTATAATATGCAGATGCACATGCCGCTTGTGCGTGTATAGTAACCTCAAAATATATTTTTGGAGGAAGATAATTCAAAATTGAAAAATGATATAAGAATAATAGTTTATGTTGAAGAATATCTGTCTGCAGTTCTGTAAAAGTCGGTGCTATCCTCAGCGTATTTGTTTTATAAAATCGGGATGGAAAAATATTTAAAAAAGTCTCGTGAATCTCTCCAAAGAAGAAACACCTGTGGGCTAGGAAGTTCTGAATATGGTACAAAATGAACACCATTTTGGAAACCCTTTATCTACAAATTTCATAAGAATGAATAATGATCATTTCACTTTTGTTCTAGACAAAATAAACTAAAAAAGCTACAAATAGCAGGCGAGAATGTATTTTATCAGGAATGAGGTAGGTACTCAATCCATATTTCATCTTTGTCAAAGCATGTCAAAGCGTCTACTCGAGCGTTTCTGGGTGTTTGATTGCAAACGAGATTGCAGACAAACGGGATATTTTTGGTATTCTTCAATCAAAGCACCAACATACGCTCCGAAGACCAAACCATTATAGAACTGATATGTTATCTCAATTTGAGAAATTAATCAGTGGACATACATTATTTGTAGTTTACCTATATTACATCAATTATACTTTTACGAAGTACATACAAAGTGACATTACCATAACCCCAGAAAATTGTTTCTCTCAAGGTTAAATAACGGCGTTATGCGCATGCGCTTCAACATAAAATGAATGAAAAATAGGACATGTTCTATTTTGCATCCAATTTTGTATTCAGACTCTCTGTTTCTGTAATACATGCTGCAGTAAATTCTGAATACAAATTCTCATTCAGAAAATAGATGTAAAACTGGTCCGTGTCATACGGACTTTTAGAGAAGACGGACAGATCCTCGTCTCCTCTCACTCTAAAGTGTTTGTGAAACAGTTATATAGTTCCATCTTTATTCATTTCTGGGGCTAAACACAGATTTCTGACATTTGTTGTTTTTTTAGGTTATATTGAGGACATTGGCGTATCATACGTAATTTCCACATGAAATTTCTCATTCAACTCTACATATTATGATGATAATTTTCGCGTTTTTGATTTTTCAACTCCAGCATAACGAGGGTCAAACTGCAGTAGGTACCTCTTAAGTGACAAAATGCTAATTTCACAGGAGCGACAAAAAACTGTCACATCAATTGGGACAATGTATAATCATTCAACTTCTTGAATGATATTTCTTGGAAATATACTTTCTACAAATATGTTGACATTAAAGGAATAATCAAAATTCACAAAAAAATTGTGTTATTCACGAGGTACTGTCTATTTTTCGATTGTTTTTACGAGGTACTGTTTTCTCGTGAAAAGAGTTGGATATGAAAACAGGAGATGGAAAATTTCCGTCCGAGATTAAGTCATCTTGGTTGCATTGCTGTGCAACTAATTTTTTTTTTTCATTCGTTCAGATGCCATTTCGAAGAAAATTATTATTTACTTTGAGCAGAAACGCGTAACTACCGCTGGTAGCTGGTAGAATACATATTTCAACATGCAGGACCTCGTATGTTAAAACTGGAAATGAAATCATATAATTATTCAGGAATAATCTTTCCATACAGGAACATTATTTCAAAGATACCATATTAATTACGCAAACTGATGATGACAAGAATGGAGCATTAGGAAATCTTCCTACCTTTAGAACAGAAATTCAGTTTGAGAACAGCACACTACACGTTACGGCGCCATTGACGCATAGCGAGTTACGAGGTACTGCTTCAGAATCTCAAGTTAAAAAATATACGAGGTAATGTTTCTCGATATTTCTGCAGAAACCACGCGAAAAACTGCAGCCTAACTCACCCGAAAGATGGAGATAGTTGTTCTGAAGCACTTTCAATAAAAAACGTGATTTTCATAAAAATGTTAGTTACGAGGTACTGCGGTTTGGCCTTCGATAATCTTTGTGAGGCAGTGAGTTTTGTTCTTAAGCAGTACCTATCAATAAATGAATTTTGATTTCAGACTAAACCTTATGGTTGAGAAATGGGGAAATATTGTATGTAGGTATTCAAACTAATGTGCTCATATGTCATGTGTGCTGTATATATATATTCATGTTGAGAATCATTTTTGCAGTTTTTCACGAATGTAGGTGTAATTTTTTAAATGGTAGGGCATGCCTTCTTTTAATCCTCCGATTTAATCAAAACTGTTTCTACTAAATTGCATTCAAAAACTTGTGGAGTGGATATAATTATAGGCACAATGAGAAAGTATAATATGTGATTTCGTATTAGTTTTACCTCGAAAATTTTGCTGATGTATTTACCGATTTTGCCCATTCGGTCACTTCACTTTCCAGGTTCTAAGTTCATTTGCATTTGATGGGAGCTGACAAATTCAAATTTGCCATCCAACTGATTGAACAGCCTAACGCAGCACATTTTATCATCATTCCAAAACAGAATTGAATAATGTATTAAGATAAAGTATGAAATTAAAATTTTGCAAGATCTCTTTCAATGCCTATGATTGTGACGTGGCAGCAATGTCATGTCAGGGACGCCAATACAAAATAAAAAAGAGAAAGTAGCTATGATCTGTCCCGTACCCTGTTAGATGACAAGTACGTCAGCTTCCATCAAGGGACCCTAGTGCGAATATTATTCAAATTTTGAATTGACTCGGCCGTTAGTTGATGGAAATCCATGGAAAATGTAAAAACTTCACAAACGATAAGATTTCCACAAAATTCTTATACACACATGTTTCGCTAACACAGTAGCTTCGTCAGGTGATATACTGGTACAATGAACTAAACCAACTTTGGCTTGCTTAACTTTTATATATCCTACTTTCCCAACTTGGAGGATTAATTACCTGTGGACAGGATCGATAAACCTCCATTTTCGGAAATTAGGCACAATATCTACATTAAATTACGGTATACCGGATTAACTTGAAAGGGATGATAGCAAATAAATCGAGAAATAAATAATATTATTACCTACTAAGAAAACCAATTCAACAGTGGTGAACTATTGTTTTGTTTTGTAATTATGTTCCGATTCTATTCAAAATTTTCATCTGGGGTTCTAGGAGTCGGATATTATGACTCTCGTCAAAATTGGGAAATTCAAGTGAACTAAAAAGAAGTTTAATTAAATGGTAGTTTGCAAAACTAAAGAAACACGCTTTTATAGATAGCGAAACTAAAAAACAGTAGAAAATAAAATAATAATAGTGTCTCGATGAATATTGAACAGGAAAAATATATTATAGAAATACTGTATGTAGCAAAACAACGTTGGCGAGGTCTGCTAGTCATGTATATTTGGAAATCATAGAATAAGTGTATGAATAGGCTGAAAAACTCCGGTTGATAGCCTTTTGGATAATCTCCCAATAAAAATTATTTATCTCTCTCTTCCTCCATTGCTTACAACCTTGGCGTACAGTAGGCATTATGTATGAGAGGGTTGAAAAAGTTACAGGGCGATCAATTCAATCAATTTGAATATTTTTTTCCGACCGTTTTTTTTTGCTGGTGAATATATTTCCTAATTTCCATAGTTATATTATTTCAGTCCTCAAAAGGTGTTTTCACCTGACAAATCATACCTGAGCCCAAGAAAAGACAGTAGCGCCCGCAGGAATCTGATCCACTTGTTGAGCCCCACCAAAAACACGTTGGCAACGTTGCCAGACAGCCCTTCGAAAAAGATCCTGCTGGAAACTGCCAAACCCGCTTTGACTCTGCCCTACCGATACCGATATTTGGCCGAGATTTTCCGTTGCATAGACGTGGTCAGTCAGATATTGTATAACAGAAAGGAGACCATAACGTTCAGAAAATTGAAACCGGCAGTGGAGGAAATGCTCAAGAGGAATCTGATGGAGAAACATCTCTCTCAAATCAAACACATTTATCCCGAGGCTTTCGAGTTTTCGCAGGAGAAATTGAAAGTTTTCGGCACTGGGATGAAACAAGAACAGGTAGTTGGCGTTTGATAGGCAAACATTATGTACAGGATTGCCAACTAAGACTCCAGAGTTCGATTTCTCTGTTGTCTTGAGAAATACAAAAAAAATTCATGTATCAAAATTGAAGTAATAACCGAGCTTCACATTTCAAAATTTCTTTAAAATACACAGGGTGTTCCGTAAGGTCACAGCATATCAAAGCTATGTTTTTTTCATTGGAACACCCTATATTTTATTTCATTTTCGAATTCTCCCTGAAGATCTGATTTCAACGACCCATCATACTCAGGGTCTAGCAGTGAAAGTTATTGACATACCGGGTGACACAGGTTATCGGGCCACCCCTGTAACTTCTGCATTGGTCAACGGATTTTTCTGAAATTCTTTACAGTTATATAAGCAACTATTTCGGGTTTCATCACATTACAATCCAATATGGCGGACTTCCGGTTTTTCTGGAAATGCCAGCAATTTTGTTTTTTCAAATGGAACACCCTGTATATTTTTACATATTCAAGTTCAACAAGTCAAAACAAGTGCAATCTTGATGTTAAATGTCATTTATTCCACAGCCTACCTAGTTGAAAAATTATTCTAACTGCAAGGAAATTCATAAACTAGTTGTTTATTTTTCAATGTAAAAATTTGTTACTGCACCGGAAAACAAAAATGATATGTCATTTTGTTCCTTAATGTATGTTCTAGAGAGACGGGTAGGTGGCCCATAGGGGTTCCATTTGAAAAAAAAAAAATTTTTCAGAAAAAGTTATGTTCTTCTGTTATGTGTGACTCATTGTGAATAGTCTTGACCATATCTCATTTATCCACGAAGTAAAATGAAAAAACAATTTTAATTTAAAGTTTTTAGAAAAAATTACATTTGAAATAGAGATTGCACTTGTTTCGACCTGTTGAACTTGAATATGTAAAAATATACAGGGTGTTTCATTTGAAAAAACAAAGTTGCTGGCATTTCCAGAAATACCGGAAGTCCGCCATATTGAATTGTAATGTGATGAAATCCGAAATAATTGCTTATATAACTGTACCGAATTTCAGAAAAATCCGTTGACGAATGCAGAAGTTACAGGAGTGGCCCGATACCCTGTGTCACCCGGTATAGGGTGTGCAAAATCGAGATTTTCCAAGTTCATGATTTTTTTCTATCGAAACTGTTCATTATTCGTCAAAACGGTTTACATGTCCCTATCTCAACTTTTCACTCACTATCATTTGGTGTTCAATTGAAATTGATACAAGGAGGTCAAAAAATCTAAATTTATAATTTGTTACAATTAAATGTCAATTGAACACCAATTGATAGTGAGTGAAAAGTTGAGATAGGGTCATGTAAACCGTTTTGACGAATATTGAACAGTTTCGACAGAAAACAATCCTGAACTTGGAAAATCTCGATTATGCACACCCTATATGTCAGTAACTTTCACTGCTAGACCCTAACTATGATACGTCGTAGAAATCAGATCTTCAGGGAGAATTCAAAAATGAAATAAAATATAGGGTGTTCCAATGAAAAAAAAAAACATAGCTTTGATGTGCTGTGACCTTACGGAACACCCTGTTTATTTCAAAGAAATTTTACAATGTGAAGCTCGGTTATCACTTTAATTTGAATGCAAAACTTTTTTTGTATCGCTCAAGACAACAGAGGTATTGAACTCTGGATTCTTAGTTGGCCACCCTGTACAAGGGTGTTAACGTTATTTTTTCATAGAGAGTATCCGAGAAGGAACATTGGGCGTGTTAGGGGTAGAAAGCAAACTATACAGGGCTATCCACGGTGGATGGCCTATTAGAAGTATCTGAAGAACGACAAGACAGACCATTCTGATGCTTTGATAATTGAACGAACATTTCCTATCCGTCTAAAATATTTGCATCGATACAGTGTTGCCACTTCTATCAGAAACAACTAGCAACTTCGTTATTTTGAATGGAGCACCCTGTATATTATTGAATTTTCAGATTCTTCTTGAAGAGCTGATTTCATCAATGTATCACACTTGGGGTCCAGCAGGAATAATTACAGAGAAATAGGGTGTTCAAAATCGCAATTTTTTTCAATTTCAGGATTTTTTTGTGTCGAAACGATTCAGTATCGATCAAAACGGCTTACATGTCCCTATCTTAACTATCGATTCACTATCTACCAGTGGCGGCTCGTGACTTTCATGACAGAGGGGGCTGAATGATATGAGATTCATTGTGAAAAACAACTCTCTACGACTCACCCAAATCAATAGCTTTGATGACATTCTGTTTACCAGTTAACCTGAACTTAATACTTGAAGAGATGTGTTCCTGTGATTTGCAGTGCCTATCCAATCAGCCAGGCAAATTTTTCAAATCATTATATCCTAATCGCACCCAACATGATGACTTATCGGTTGAAAATAATACGCAGTACCAATATTTTTTATAATTATCAGAATTGAACGAACGATTCTGTTTGTTACCTGTTACAATCAGATTTTTTAATTCCGGTGTCGGACGTTTGTTTTTCACAATCAATTTATCTTCATAAGACAAAGCACTGAATGGGTTCACCAAAAAGTATTCCACTAAATCGCAATCGTTTAAAACATTCTCGTTTTTCAGGAATTCATAGAGCCCCTAACCATTAACCTAACATAAACATAAACAATGCACTCGCGTTTGTCCGCAATTCGCGAAGCGAGACGATAAACACGTGCTATTCGGGCGTATTCGGGCATTTGCATTGCGCGCGTAGGTTTCGAAATGTGTAGGAGTCTAGCCTCCTATAGATGTTGCCAAGTTGAATATATTACGCGTGATTTGCAGACTTCAACGAGTGATGCTTGGGCAAGCACTGTTGCCAATTCAAAAATATTCAACTAAAAACAGGAAATAAAATCAAAATCCATGTATTTTGGTGTTCTTTTAATGATAAAGTATTGATAATATTAGTTTAAGGAACATCTCTGAGGAGGCTCAGCCTCCGTTGCCTCCTCTGAGGAGCCACCACTGCTATCTACTGACATTCAATTGGAACAGATACAGGGTGATCCGAATTCTGAATCGTGGAGCACCCTGAATTTTTTCCAATTGAATTCCAGTAGATAGTGGATCAAAAGTTAAAATAGGGACATTTAAGCCGTTTTGATCGATGATGAATTGTTTCGACACAAAAAAATCCTAAAATTGAAAAATCTCGATTTTGAACACCCTATATCTCTGTAATCATTCTTGCTAGACCCCAAGTGTGATGCATTGATGAAATCAGCTCTTCGGGAAGTATCTAAAAATGCAATAAAATACAGGGTGTTCCATTTGAAATAACAAAGTTGCTAGTTGTTTCTGATAGAAGTGGCAACACTGTATCGATGAAAATATTTTGGACGGTTAGAGAATGTTCAATTATCAAAACATTCCAATTTTCAGAATGTTCTGTCTTTTCGTTCTCCAGATACATCTAATAGGTCATCCACCGTGGATCACCCTGTATATTACATTCCAAATAAGAAGATAGTAGGTGGCGTTTCTTCTGAAGGAATGTTTACACTGACATAATAAATGTTTGGCGCCTAATCCAAAGTGATGGTAAAATTTCAATGTGTGGAAAATAATCGGAATTTTTTGATATAATAATAAACGCTTTTACTGATAGACAGAAAGAACAAAAAAAAATACATTAGAGGAAAAAATAAGTCTATCTATCAAATGGCAGAACGTTCCCACAAGAAAGAAACGAGGAAGTGCTTTCTTCCACTCAACCTTGTGGGCAAGTGTAATACTGCCTCCGATATTAACCAATGAAAGCGAAGATCATTGCTTCCCTATGACTTCCAATGCTGTCTTCTTAGTTGGAATGTTTTAAGTGGGCGATTACAATTAACAATAAACTCTCTTTATGTTCATAATTATATCAGAGTATTCCTTTTCAATAAAAACAAAACTGACATCCAACAGTGGGAACTGGTACTTAACCCCAAAATCGACAACGCAGAGCACATGAACTCCGATATCCTCTTGAAACGCAGAAGACATCTGTACAACTCCCTGCTAGATCTGGTGAAAAAGTACCACCATGAGTTCCTGGCGACTCTGAGCCCTCCGATGACCGTCGATAAGGACAAGATAACACGCTGGCATCCCGAGTTCAATATTGAAAAGGTACGAAAATTCATTCGTTTTCAATGGGGGACTTTGCTCCAAGTACAATCGTATTCAGTAAAAAAGCGTACGAGTGTTGAAAAGTTTACAGCATCCTAGCTCTAGTTGTATAAAACTGGTTCATCCATTGCTTTCTGTTTTTGAAAACCTATGACAACTTTACTGTCAACATTTGGTAAACAATCATTCCCGATAACCGCAAATAGAATGACGTTAATTTATCTCTGTAATATACTTTTAGGTTTTTTTTCTGAATACAGCTGCACCAACCAAATAACCTCTACCAATCTAGAAGCATTTTTTTATGGCTTTGTGGACATGGTCCCATCACTCAGATATAGAAGTATTAACATTATGGAAGTTGTATTATTCAAATGGCTTTATTTTTTATGAAATCTGATTGTAGGAGTCTCTCAACTCACTTATACAAGTTATTCACAAGAAAAACTATTTTTTGTGAACTCTAGTTCTGATGTTATTCTCTATGAGTGATTTGTGATACCTTCAACAATGAGAAACCCTATATTTTTCAGCCCAATGAAATATTCCTCTTCAGGTTCCAGTACAATAGAAAATGGAGTGGAACAAGGTTATTGAAATGTGAATTCTATAAACAGTAAAATTATATACAGTGTGTCTCAGCTAAAACTTGTTACCCCCAAATCTCCGATGTCGTTAAAAAAATAGAAAATCGCTCGGATAGGTCGATTTAAATTTGGCGGGGGGACACATTTTTCTGAAATTATCATATTACAAAGTTGAAATCTTGAAGCGTAACGGGCATCAACTCTCGATTTTCGAAGGGAGCACCCTGTATTTCATTGCATTTTTAGATTCTCCCTGAAGAGCTGCTTTCATCAATGTTTCACATTTGGTGTCTAGCGGAAATAATAACAGATATATAGGTAGTTGAAAATCGAGATCTCCATCTTAACTTTTGATTCACTATCTACTGATATTTAATTTGGACAAATACACGGTAGTTCAAAATTCAGAATTATGAACCACTCTGTATTCGTTCAAATTAAATATCGATAGTTAATCAAAAGGTAAGATAGGGACATGACAGCCGTTTTGACCGATAATGAATAGTTTCGACACCAAAAAATCCTAAAGTTAAAAAATCTCGATTTTGAACACCTTTTATCTCTGTAATCATCCAGTGACTCTAGTTTTATCTAGAGTCACTGGATGTTATTAGTTAGATAAGAGTTCGGACACAGCTGAACTCCTGTCCTTCTCTATTTTCTATATTGAAATGATCTGAGTGAATAAAAGAATAAGACATATATTCTGCTCTTTGTCTTTCAATTTCCCTGATATCGCCTGATTGTCATATACGATTTTAGAGGTTAGATTTACTGTCAAATCAATCATAGATGGAAAATAGAAATAGGGTATAAACACCCACTTCAATTCATATAGTGATAAACTTTTTGCAGAACCATAGTTACAGAAATGAAGAGAATTCATGTAACAACATTTTAATATGACAGAATAGACACATGGATATACTTATAGCTAGTTCCTTATTCGCGGGAATCAATGTTACCAGGTGGCGCTCGGTTTTCATCGTTCCATGTCAAAGCCACGTCAAAACTGGGGGAAAACAAACTCAATCAATCGCTTGTGTACTGTGTACTGATAAGAGTGATAAGTTTTTAAATTTCTTGACATTAATAATTGTCAATATTCGATCGAAAACGCTAATAACGCCGGTTGTAGATGTTATTTTGGCAGATATTTTGCTCTATTTAGATGGAAAAAGCCGACCAGTAGTGAAAGGAGAAGCAGTTCTCCGTGCTAGTCATGTGATTTTGTGTGAGGCAGAAGACTTCAACAAAAGGCACATTTTTGCACTATGTCTACAAACTTCGGCGATGAAATCTTCCCCACATGAAGTAAAATTGAAGTTGGGGTCCAGAGGAACTCCTGTAGAACAATGGATTTGTATTTGTTCATACAAAGCAGGACAATCTGGGTATTGTGAACATGTTGTAGCTGTTCTTTTATATGTCAATTGATTTGTTGGTCATAATTAGTTTGAATTGTTTGAACTATCTCCAATTCTTCACCCGTTCACTGTTCACTAAACTGATAAAAATGTAATAATGTAAAAAATTTAACCAACTCAACAGAGATGTATAGAAATTTAACTGGTGCGCTTGCTCCCTATTGAAGGTCGTTTGCAAGTTTCTCGATGGCGCCTACTCTGATAAACCTTTGATAAACATACTTGACGTGGGCCAATCTCGCTAAGCTCATCCTGGTTACAATTCATATTTACAGGAAACATATTACCGACCGATAAATATTTGAATACGTATATGATTTGGATCAGAGCAGTGAACTGATTCCTGATCAAATGATCGAAATGTCAATATGTCAAAAATATTCTTGAGCTGAAAAAATGGATATTGCTGAGATTGGGGTCAAGTTTTCGTTAGGGACGTGTTCCGTAGTTTCTAAATTTTGTGTATAATACCTAATCCACCATAGAAAAAAGGAAATCTCTGTTCTACATCAACAGTATTATTTCAGTGATTTGAAGTATTAGCGTGAACTGGTGTGAATAAATTCTAAGGTGAGTACCAGTTACCATATCTGCCTATTATGATTTTCGATATTGATCTATTTCAATAGTTGATACATTCTTTGTTCTGGTTCTTCAATGAGGAAAATCATCAAATTCCATGCTTTAAATAGGTTTATGTCATGAAAGAAGTGAAGCTTATTAAAATCGGCTACAAAAAAGATTTCTTGCTTCTATTTCAAATTGAAATTTGAATGAAAATGTTGAGCACAGTATTTATTCGACCACAGAACAATGATGGAAATAGATTTATCCCTCACAGAACCAAGGTTTTCAACGATTTTCCGATTATGGCGCCTCTATCGCAAATACCTGAACCCCACGTCCAAAACTCGCTTGCAATCGTTCCATATCGAGAGTTAGTCTGACGAAACAATTGAAGAGTGAGCCCACCAGTTAAATTTCTATACATCTCTAACTCAACCATCATCACTACCAACAGTGCCAACACTTTATGTCATTGACAAGTTTGACTACAGCAACAGCAAGCTGAATGCAAACTTCTTCCATAGACAACAGTTTGTTTTCCCCCAGTTTGAAGTTCGTATTATATAACCTAGATGTCGCCCACTTCGTCAATCTCGCGAATATGTGACTATTTGAAACGAAAAATCGTAACGTGAGCCTTTCGTGAAAAGGTGCCGGAAATCGAGTGCTCAGATCTGCCGCAGTCTCCCGCAGAAGAAAAGCTGACCACCGGCAAAGACGTGCTGGACAAGGCGCGGCAGATGTTCAATTGCAACACGCGGATGGAGCAGGCGCTGCAGAGGCTCAGAGAGGCCAGAGAGGGTATCAAGGTGCCTGAGGAGGCGGAGAAGGAGGTGCCAGCGAAACCTGTATCAGTATTAAAAGGTACTTTTTCTACTCACATAACTAAAATGGCATTTAGCGGATACGACTGTATATGCGCGCAACTCTCTCAAATCTACGACTTTTCAATAAGATACCATATAATATCAAACAAATGAAATTTGAGCTATTCAAAACAACCATAGAACATATTTTAGTTAGCAACAGCTTCTACTCGTTACCACCGATACAACAAGGCCTGCATGCTCCGTGGGTGACGTCACTTAGTGAGGCCTAACCAGCGGCTCGAAACGACAAGCGCTTATAGCGCTATAAGGCGACCGCGTATTTCGATTTTAGTTTTAGATCATCATTGAGCCGATTTTGCTGTTTTTTGAAGGGCTTCCGGTTAAAAAAGGATGCCAGTCGTCAACTGAGCCCTTCTTCGCACCCCATTCGATTTTATTATGGAAAAACGAAGTTTTAAAGCAAAAACCAGGATAAAACACAAATATCCACCTACAGCAACCCATGCGAAATAAATATATTGGCAAAGATTGTGGTGAAGGTAAACTTCACACCAACTTATACAGGGCCCGCAGAACATAAACTTATCGTGAGATTGATCGAAAGAAAATTGTGGAAAATGTATTTTATTTTGATTGACATGCCGTTTGTTACAATTACCTATATTTATCTTGGAGAATTCCTATTACCTGAAAAAATAACCAGTGAGTGTTTTCAATTTTCTGTTGTTGGATTTTTCACCCAAGTGGATCGTTACACTTGAAACCGTAATTTTTAAGGGTAAAACTGCATTTATCATGCGATGGTTTTTTTTTTGAAAATTTTTTTCGGTACTCACGTATTTTTGTCTGATAAACCGAATTTTATAATGAAAATGTGAACAAACCACTATTTATTGAGATATTTCAAGAAAAAGTTCGAAATTTCGCCTTCTTTCTCCCCTTGTGTTGGGGGTATTTGAAGCTACTTGCTCTTATTTTGTCATTGGACACTTTATATACTCATGATGTACTTCGATGGCACATTTTCATATAGAAAATTCAACAGGAAATATGATTTTTATGGCGAGTTTTTCATATTTAGTGAACAAGCATTCCAGATGACGACCATTTAATCAATAGTCAATCAAAATACGAGATGTCAAATGTCAATAGATTGCTTTCGAATGACATTACACACGCCATTATTTTGAATGATATTGTTCCTTCTTTTCACTAAATATGGATTAATCTCAAGAAAATCATATTTATAGTTGAATTATATATAAATTGTCCAATATGATGAAAAAAGAAGGGAAATGCCATCCAGAAGACAGGTGAAAAAGAAGGTGAAATTTGGAACTTTTTAGTCAAATATATTCATGATAAATATCATGATAAATGCAGTTTTACCTTTTTAAGTAGAGTGTTTGTAGTTCATGTTAATATGATAGTTGCGATTTGATCATTGGAATGAATTTTGCATTCATTGCCACGAGGCAAATGACCGTTTTCAGAAAGAAATTTGAGAATGAGAATTAACAATGCCCGTTTATTATGAACATTCAAGAAAATTTCCTCGAATTCAGAGATGATTTTGTTGACTATAATATACGAATACAAAACTAACTGCACAATCAAAGCTTTCCTATTTTTCCTCTACTTATACTTTTTATGAGAGAGTAATTATCTTCTATTATTAATTCATCATTATAAATTAAGCTCTGTTTACTACTGAACTTAGATGGAGTAAAATCCTCGCGGTGAATTGCATATACCCACATTTTCGATAGCTCCTCGTCCAACGGGAAACTAAAAGCATGAACTTTTGAACCACCCACATAATTCCCCCGACAAAAGGGAACACAACACTTGAAAGGCATTGTTATGTCGCCGATCACAACACAAAATATTTCACAAAACAGTAATTTTTCCGCCAATTATTTTGATGAATAAACAACAAAAGAATTCGGGACCGTTTCAAAAACATACGTGAATCACCGATGAATTAACAAGAACAGACGCGTTAGTCGACAAGCGATAAAATAAAACACTGGCCTCTCTTGGTGACGTCACGAGCTGTTTACGTCAGAGTCTGCTGGTCTTGTTGTATCCGTTAAGGAGCATCTCAGTGCCGATTTAAAAAAAAATAACACATGACCATCACACAGTTCACACAGTGATTTTATGAGTATGTATTTCAATAAAAAATTCTGTTTATTTACAAATTTACATGTATAAATTCTATTCTATTCTACAAATCATATCATGCCCGTCTATAATTTTTTTTTTCAGGAATTCCGAGCGCTTTGCTGGAAAAGGTGAGGCAAAAACAAGCTGCCAAAGCCTTAATGTCGATGACCAGATCAGCCGACAAGGAAAAAGAGGTATTGATCTATTCCCGATTGCCGGAGATCGCTCGACTAACGCGAAACCTGTTCGTCTCCGAGAAAAAAAGCGTTCTACCGCTAGATGTCGTGGTGGAAAAGTTGGGAAATTGTTATCGCGTCCATTTGACTAAAACCGAGATGGAGGACCATCTGAAAGCCATCGCCAAAGAGGTGCCCTTGTGGTTGGTCTTTCACAATATACGGAATTGTGTGTATTTGAAACTAGCGAAAAATTCCGATCTCAGTGTTATTCTTTACAAATTGGAACATTTGGTTAAGACCAAAAGTGAATTATGATCGTTTGTGGATACGTGTATTTAATTCTTAAGTATGAAGTGTGTAATTTATAATTAATTTTTAATCACGCGGCTATTGCTTTTCTTTTTTCAGACATAATATTAGATAACAGTATTTCATTCTTGATTTTTCTTGAAAAAAAAAATTGACGGGTATTTTCGTAAATCAAAACGACTTTACAGGAACCACAGGATGTTCATATTTCATATGAATGATTCAGTTACAATGAAATAAATACCCGGTATATGGGTTCACACAGAAAAATTAAATTAGCACATCAATGAAATAAAAGAAAATAAGAAAATGCATTTTGAAACTATTATTTTACTTCGTTTTCCCACGGTTTTGAATAATGTCCTGATAGTTTCTGATTTAATGGTTGGCAAATTGAGTGCATTCATTTTTCGAATAACTAATTCGAATTATTCCAGATTTTTTGGGATTTTCTCTCCTCGTTTCTATAAAACAAAAATATGAATATTATTTCAATATACAGGGTGGGCCACCAGTAACGCCTCGGTCTCTAGAAGGCTAACCACTTATCTTCTTGGAATTCTTCCTCTCTAGGAAGTTGCATGTCAACATAGGCTACCATTTGAAATTATTTTGAAACATACAGGATGTCCCCAAAAATCACAAAACACTGAAGTTGAACTTTTTTCAATCGAACACCCTATATATTATTTCATTTTGAGATTCTCCCTGATGAGCTGATTTCAACAATCCATCATACTTGGGGTCTAGCAGTTATAATCACTGAGATATATAGGGTGTGAGAAATCGAGTTTCCAAGTTCAAGAATTTTTTGTGTCTAAACCATTCATAATTGGTCAAAACGGCTCACATGTTCCTATCTCAAATTTTGATCAACTATCTACTGACATTTAATTGAAACAAATACAGGGTGGTGCAGAATTCAGAATCTTGATCACCCGGTATATGTCCCAATTAAATATCAGTAGATGATTAATCAAAAGTTGAGATAGGGACATATAAGCCGTTTTGACCAATTATGAATAGTTTCGACACAAAAAATTCTTGAACTTGGAAAATCTCGATTTTTCACACCCTATATTTCAGTAATTATAACTGCTAGACCCCAAGTATGATGGGTCGTTGAAATCAGCTCATCAGGCAGAATCTCAAAATGAAATAATATATAGGGTGTTCGATAGAAAAAAAAATTTACTTCAGTGTTTTATGGTTTTTGGAGACACCCTGTATGTTTCGAAATAATTTTAAATGGTAGCCTATGTTGACATGCAACTTCCTAGAGAGGAAGAATTCCAAGAAGATAAGTGGTTAGCCTTCTAGAGACCGAGGCGTTACTGGTGGCCCACCCTGTATAGAAACGAGGATAGAAAATCCCAAGAAAATTTAGAATAATAATACTTCGTTCTTAGTTTTTCTTGGGGAATAAAAAAACGGACTTTAATGAAAACAACTAGACAGGAGCCACAAGGTGTTCATATTTCAAGTCAAAGATTCAGTTATAAATGAAATATTCCGTATAAAAGTTTATAGACTGATAAACTAAGGTTAGTAGTACATTAATGAAATTAAAAAATTGCATCTTGAAGGTATTATTTTTCTTCGTTTTCCCATGGTTTTCAATAACGTCGTGGCAGTTTCTGATTCAATGGTTGGTAAATTAGTGCATTTATTTTTTCAAATAACGTATGAATTTTGAATATTCTAATTCTGAGTACCTACATAGTGGAATTAGTGGGCCTTGAATTATGTAGAAAAGTGTATTTTTCTGCTCCACCAATACAGTTCATCGAGCTTGACGATGATTTAAAAGAATATCCCTGTTAGAATCGATCATAAAAGGCCACATCTTAGTAGTCATTATTATGTTTTTCAACTTCCTCGCTTTCAAATTTTTAAAAAGGATCGTTTCATTTCGTATCCCAGATGCAGAACATCAATGGTTGGTATAAAAAATGTCATTGACATGCATTTTTGTGTGTATTTAAAATCGACTGAAATTTCCGATCTCAGCGTTATTATTATTTACAAATTGGGAGATTTGATCAAGACCGCGGTGGAATTCTGGTCTACAAACAACTGGAATTCCTTGGATTTCCTCAGACTTATTTGGGTGAAGTGCGCTATAATTCTTGTGTAAAAACAACTGGAATTCCTTGGATTCCCTTGAATTTCTTTGGATTTTCTTGAATTTTCTTGGAACTCTTTGGATTTCCTTGAAATTCCTTGGATTTCCTTAGAATTCCTTGGAATTCCTTGAAATTCTTTGGATTATTCCCTGGAATTCTTTGGAGTTTCTTGAAATTCCTTGGAATTTTTTGAGTGAAGTTCGCTTTAATTCTGGTGTACAAACAACTGGAATTCCTTGAATCTCCTCAGACTTATTTGGGTGAAGTGCGGCTATAATTCTGGTGTAGAAACAACTGGAATTCCTCGGATTCCCTTGAATTTCTTTGGATTTTCTTGAATTTTCTTGAAATTCCTTGGATTTTCTTGAAATTCCTTGAATTTTCTTGAAATTCCTTGGATTTTCTTGAAATTCCTTGGATTTCCTTAGAATTCCTTGGAAGTCCCTGGAATTCTTTGGAGTTTCTTGGAATTCCTTGGCATTTTTTGAGTGAAGTTCGCTTTAATTCTGGTGTACAAACAACTGGAATTCCTTGAATCTCCTCAGACTTATTTGGGTGAAGTGCGCTATAATTCTGGTGTTAAAACAACTGGAATTCCTTGGATTAACTTGAATTTCTTTGGATTTTCTTGAATTTTCTTGGAATTCCTTGGATTTTCTTGAAATTCCTTGAATTTCCTTGGATTTCCTTGGAATTCCTTGAAATTCTTTGGATTTCCTCGGAATTCCCTGGAATTCTTTGGAGTTTCTTGGAATTCCTTGGAATTTTTTGAGTGAAGTGCGCTTTAATTCTGGTGTAAAAACAACTGGAATTCCTTGGATTCCCTTGAATTTCTTTGGATTTTCTTGAATTTTCTTGGAATTCTTTGGATTTCCTTGAAATTCCTTGGATTTCCTTAAAATTCCCTGGAATTCCTTGAAATTCTTTGGATTTCCTCGGAATTCCCTGGAATTCTTTGGAGTTTCTTGGAATCCTATGGAATTTTTTGAGTGAAGTTCGCTTTAATTCTGGTGTACAAACAACCTGAATTCCTTGGATTCCCTTGAATTTCTTTGAATTTCCTTGGATTTCCTTAGAATTCCTTGAAATTCCTTGAAATTCTTTGGATTTTCTTGGAATTCCCTGGAATCCTTTGGAGTTTCTTGGAATTCCTTGGATTTTTTTGAGTGAAGTACGCTATTATTCTGGTGTACAAACAACTGGAATTCCTTGAAATTCCTTGGAATTTCTTGGAATTCCTTGAAATTCCTTGGATTTCCTTGATATTCTTTGGAATTCCCTGGAATTCTTTGGAGTTTCTTGGAATTCCTTGTGTGAAGTGCGGTATAATTCTGGTGTGCAATCAACTGGAATTCCATGAAATTCCTTGTGAAATTAAAGTTTGGTGTACACAATTCTGACTGCGTATTACCCCTCGGGGTATATGTATTTAATTCTTAAGTATGAAGTGTGAGTTGTAATTTATAATTAATTTTTAATCACGCGGCTATTGCTATTCTGTTTCTGGACATGATATTGCAAAACGATATTTCATTCTTGGTTTTTCTTGAAAATAAATATAACGGGAACCTATTTTCGTAAATGAAAACAACTCTACAGGAACCTCAGGGTGTTCATATTTCATGTCGAAAATTCAGTTACAGTGGAATACTCGATCGGTATATGGCTTCTGACTAAAAAATTAGATAGCACATTACTGAAATAAAAAAAATGCATCTTGAAAATATTCTTTTCCTTTGTTTTTCCCATAGCTCAAAGACAGTTTTCATACAGTTTTCAAAAATGTCCTGAGAGTATATTAATGAAATCGTCATTATTAAACATGACAGTTTCTGATTTAAGGGTTGGCGAATTTAGTGCATGCACTTTTTTAAATAGCTAATATTAATGATGAATATTGCAATTATGCAAGAAAGTATCACTTTCTATTCCAAAAATATAGTTCATCGAGCTTGACGATGATTAAGACAAAATCTGGCTGAAATTGATAATCAAAGGCACATTTTAGTAGTCTAATCATTATATTTTTCAAAGTTCTTGCTTTACAAATTTTTAGATGTATATGTTTCATTTTATTATGTATTCCAGATACGAAATATTCATGGTTGATGTCGAAAATGTCATTGACATGCATTTTTTGTTTATATTCATATCCACCAACATTTTCAGTTCAGAGTTCAACAGTTTAGAATTCATAAACAAAACGACGTTCTTTCTTGTTTTTATCTTTTCAGGCATGAGTGAATTTTTCCAAAAACAAATACTTACATTTGATTGTGTAGATAGTTTACTTACATTTCAGTATATTTTTATATTCTGGATGTCTTAGGAAAAACACGGCGTTTTTTATAGAACAAAAACAACAAACTTCGAATAGGTGTGATTCAGTTTTACTATCTAGCGCCGTGATTTATAACGTAATGTACAGTTCTGCTCAATAAATTTTCAACCATAGGTAAAGAAAGTAAATGTATTGACTTCTTGTTGAGCTTTTGAAGGTTCTTCACACTAGTTTTAATCAAGAGTTGTTCAGCAAATGTCACAAGTTTGACATATTCATTGAGAAGAACTCCACATTATGTTCAATGGCATTGTCATTAAAGGATCGCCCTGTAAAACTTCTGATAAATGCATTATTGCGGTATTGAACTTCCGAATATTGTTTTTTTTTCATGATAAGAAATAAGGTAAATATAGGGGTGGGTCTATTCATCGGAGAGCCCTATACATACAGGGTGACAATTTGAAAATGAGAAGCATTCAATATTTCTTTAACTGATGACACTGAAATTCACATTTCAAGGGGGACAACTTTGTAGGAATTTGTAGTTATATTATATTCAACCCTATCACCATCAGTGCTCCTAAAATTTTAAATAG